TTTCTGGATTCTCTATGCCGCCCCACCCCCAATGCCAAGGCCATGTTGATTTGATGAAGGCCTTCCGGTATGTTCTAACATTCCCAGTGAGCAGGTCCGGTGGGTGGGCTTTCTTCCCTTGATAGTCGATGCCCCCCCCCCCAAAAAAAAGGCAGAACAAGGACAAGGTGCCTCAAGACAAGAGGGTCCCTCTATTAGAATCCAGGGTCGTTCAGGTCAAATGAGAAAAATGTTAATGATAACAGTAATTGTGATAATAATGATATTAATAGTGAAAATAATAACAGTAACAAAAGTAATAATATTGATGAAGAAGAGGAAAGAATGGAAGAGGAGGGGAGGGGAAGAGGAGGAGGAGGAGGTGAGACTAGCCAGGGCTAACTTGCCCCATTTCCTAGGTGAGGAAACGGAGGCCCAGCACGAGATAGCGCCTTTGGGGTCACGCAATGCCTGCCCGCCCCCGTCCCCCGCGCCCGCCTCTGGATTTCCTGATGGGTGTGTGTGTGTCCGCGTGAGCCCCGGGGACGCCCCTCCCCCGCCCCGCCTCGGTCACTCCCCGGCCCCCCCCCACGCGCCGTCGCGTCACCCAGGCCCGCTGCGCCCACGTTATAAATAGTCTGGCGCGTGTGACTGGAAGCCTGCGGGGGACGGTGGAGGCACTTCCGCCCCGGTGACCCCGATACTGCAACTGGAAGGGGCGGGGGCGGAGCGGAATGTGACGATGACGGTGATGAAGGTGATGATGACTGGATGACTGGGGCGTTTACAGACCTGAGAAGACCGAGAAGGGGATTCGGTTTCTTCTCTGAGCCCCATTCAGCCCCATCCTGGGCCCCCTCCTTCCTCCAAGTCCCCTCCTCCCATGAGACCTGGCGCCCTTCAGTTTCCCCTCCCCCTTCCCTGGTCCCCTCCCCCTTCGCCATCCCCTCCCCCATTATAAGCCTCCTCTGGCTCTCTGGAGCCTTTCTTCCCCCGACCTCCCCTTGTCTGAGTCCCTTTACTTTAGCCCCCCCCCATCTCTTTTCTACGCCCCCTTCCCAGACCTCCTGAGTCCACCTTCCCACTCTGAGCCCCTCCTCTTTGCTGAATCCCATCCCCTCACCAGGACCCACCCTCTCCAGTCCACCTCCCAACTGTGAGGTCCCTTCCTTGGTTCCCCTCCCCTCTCTGAACTGTCACCCCTTGTCTCTCCACCAGCTGCACAGGCCCCCCAGCTGTACACAGATATTAATATCCTCCCCCTACCCTCTGAAGAGGAGCTCTGGTAGCTTGGTGCCTAAGGCACTTGACCGCTAACCAGAAGGCTGGCGGTTCAAACCCATCAGCCACTCCTCGGAAGGGAGATGGGGCAATCTACTTCAGTAGTGATACTGCCTCGGAAACCCAAGGAGAGGTCGCTATGAGTCGGGTCCGACTCAAGGGCACATAAGAACAACAACAACAACCCTCTGAAGGAGACTGAGGTATTGAGCCTTGGCCTTAGTTCTAGGATGGAGCCTTCCACAAATCCCTCACCTGATGATCCCCCTTCCCGGAGAAGCAGAGGGGAGCTGAAGGTCTTGGGCCAAGACTAATGTGGGGAGGAGGAGAGGGAGAGAGACCTAGGGAGGACCAAGAGAGATGGAGGAACAGGGAGATGTGGGAGAAGGCGAGGAAGAGAGACACAGAACACAGAGGAGGGGGAGAGAGGCAGGGTGAGACCCTGAGAGGAGAGGACACACCTAGGGCTAGGGGCCTTCCCTCTGAGCCCCAGGGCCTGGGCTGTTAAACGGGGCACTGGGTCTACAGCAGCTGCAAGGCAGGCGCCCAGGCCAGCCCCGCCCAGCCCCATCACTCCTGATCTGACCTGAAGTGGGGGTCTGGCACCTGTTCACTCCCAGGACCCTTCACTTTCTTCCATGAACTCTCCCAGGTTTGCCTTCCCTAGTGGGAATCCCCCTCTCTTTCCTCTCGCTGTCCCTGTCTCAGTGTCTGTCTCTTACTCTCTTATTCCCTCCCCTTTTTCTTCCTCTTGTCCTTTTCCTCTCTCCCTGTGTATATCAGTCTCTCTCTGCCCTGACCCTTCCTCTCCTCCCACTCTATCTCCCCTCTCTCCAGTCCTTCAGATCCAATCTGCAAAATGGCCTTCCTCTAGAGAGGGCCTGATGCTCCTGCTAAGCACATCTAGAGGCTGGGAAGGGGGAGACCCAGGCAAAGGATCCCTCATCCCACGCCCCCACATGAGGGCGCCACACACACACTCCCCTCCCCTCCCCCTCCAGGGCCAGAGGAGGTATCCAGAGTGCCCCAGACCCTGGGATCCTGGCCCAGTGATGAGGGGCTGGGAGGATGAGCTCCCCATGGGCTGTGTGGACTGAGGGTGGGTGAGAGGAACTTGAGGGGCAGGGCTGAGTGTGCTTTCAAGTGCCTAAAGTGAGAAGATGAGGACAGACCACAGAGACTGATTTGGGGTGTGGGAGAGAGAGACACAAAGAGCAAGAGACAGAGAGAGAAAAATCCAGAAAAGACAGGAAGAAACTGAGTGAGTCAGAGACAGAATAAGACATAGGTGGAGGTTCAGAGAGGGAGATTAATTTGCCCAAGGTCACACAGTATCAGGATTTGAACTAGCTCCGAACCAGTGCTCAGCTCTCCTGACTCCCAGCCAAGGGTTCCATCCACACCCACCTCCCAAACCCAAGCCCAAGCGGGCAACTGTGTGGTGGGAAGAATGCCTAATTCATTTTCATCTAAAATCTGGGTGGGCTTTTTTTTTTCTTTTTCAATGCGGGGGCACTGGCATAGGAAGAAGCTCTGTAACTTTGGGAGCTTGCTGATGCCTCTGGGCGACCATCCCCGTCTGTCTGCAATGGGAACAAACAGTCTTTACTGACATGTGTTTGAAGCTGCCCCATGTCTCCCACCTCAATGGGAATTCTTGCTTCACAGACTCTATTCAATGGCTTTTGTGAGGGAAGTTCAAGTGATGGGGACAGAGATATAAATCAGAGATGGGAGGTTGCTACAGCCACCCAGGAAAAGGCTGAACTTGACTCTCAGAAGAGAAGAAAGAATAGACACAAATTCCCTTTCTAGAAATCTAGGCTCCACCTTCCTTGCATACACCTTGAAGATATTCTGAAAAACATGAAGGCTCCGAACAGAGGGTGCAGAAGGCTGGCTTGCGTGGGAAATCAAATAATGTGCATGAACACATGATTGTAGGTGCGTGAATCTCTCCAGAAGGACTCATTGCTGGCATCTGGGAGGGAGAGTGAGGGCTGGGGCAGAAAGGGCCTTGTTTTCATTGTATACAGGCACACCTCGTTTTATTGCACTTCGCTTTATTTTGGTGGTCTGAGGTAGGCCCCTATTTTGGATTTTGTAAAATGGTTGAAGTAGTCTCTGGGTGGTGCAAATGGTTAACACACTAGGCTGCTGACTGAGAAGTTGGGGGTGTGAGTCCGCCCAGAGGAGCTTCAGAAGGAAAGCCTGGTGATCTGCTTCTAAAAAAACCAGCCACTAAAAACCCTATGGGAGCTCTGGTGGCGTAGGGCCTAAGGCACTTGGCTGCTAACCAGAAGGCTGGCAGTTCAAACCCACCAGCCACTCCTCGGAAGGCAGCTTGGGCAATCTACTTCCTTAGTGATACCACCCCACCAAGGAGGGGTTGTTATGAGTCGGGTGCGACTCAACGGCACATAACAACAACGTGAGTAGGAACCGACTCCATGGCAGTGAGTTTGGTTTTTTTTTTTTGGTTTTAAAGCCCTATAGAGGGCAGTTCTTCTCTGACATAGATGGGATTTCCAGGCGTCTGGATCAACCTGATGGCCATTGGTTTGGTTTTTGGTTAAAGTGGTCATGTTTTGCTTACACAAACACAAATTTAATTTGCAAGGAAGAAAGGCAGCAGGAAAAAGAGGAAAGCTATAGAAGAGTGGCGTAGGTGTGGTTTGGGGGCGGGTTTGGAGTAGTGGTGGAGAAAGATGTTGCTGAAAGCCTCAGGGTTCCAGGATATTGAAAGTGAGGGAAAAGCCAGTCAAGTTTGGGATTGCTTTTAATCCCTTGGGGCTGTGGATCTTGTGTAATGTGAAGGTACTGGACCACATGGGGCCCTGAATAGATTTGGGTTACACCTTCCATAAGCAAACGAGGCCAGATGATCTCTCGTGACCTTCCAGTATGGATGGACATATCTCCTGTGCATTATTGGAGTCAGCTCTCCAGACTGTTCTGTCCCACTTCACCCAGCCCCCTTTTTAAGTCTTGGATCCCCAAACCTGGGAGGGTTTGGTAGAAGGACAGACTGAGCTGGGCTCCTAGGGAAAGGTCTCTCTGGTCTGATAGGGCCATGGGGTCATCTCTTCCACCTCCTTCCTCCTCCTTCTTAATTTTCCTCCCTTCTCTGGCAATCCTGGAGGACTTCCTATGGGAAGCTTCTCCTGTCCCAACTCCTTCTTCTGAATCTTACTCAATTTTGAGTGGAGGTACAGCTGGGGAAGGGGGTTTTAGGGGGATTTGATGGGGATAGGCGAGGGTGGTGGAGAGGGAGGATGACCCCAGCACCCACATTTCCTTCCACTTCCCGGATCTGCCTGTGCTAAACTCTCTGATGGCTTTTCTCTCTCTCCCTCGCATCCCTGCCTCCCTCCTCTCCTTAACTCTCCTCCTCTCCTTGTCTCTTTGCCTCTGTTTCTGAATTGGCCTCTGTCTTTACCTTGATTTCTCTGTTTGGTCTCTCTTTCTCTGTTTTATCTCTTTACCTGTCTCTTTGTGAGCTCTCTCTTTGCCTCTCTCTTCTCTCTGTCTCTTTCTCTGGATGCCTCTGGCCTCTGTGTCCCTTGTGATGTCTTTCTTGTGCTGTCTCTGTCTACCCCTCTATATCCCTGCCTCTCTCCCCCTTCCTATCTCTGTCTCTTTCATTATGTCTCTGTTTTGATGTGTTTCTCTGCATCTCTCTCTCTCTCTGCCCTTCACCTCTTCCCCCTGCCCTTCCCTGTCTCTGTCTTTCTCCACAGTCAAAAAAGCCAAGTTTGATGGTGCCCAAGGTAAGTGACCTTACTTGCTGCCCTGTCCTGTGCTGTCTGTCTTTTGGAGAATCTGGGAGGGGATCTGAGCTAGTGATGGGGGATTTGGGTTTTATGCCTGCTGAACATCAGAGGGGATACTGAAGGGTTAAACAGGGGGAGGGACAGATCTAGGCCTGGGTTCTCCTCCCCACAGAGTGTGGAAGCTTCCTCAAAGTCCCCCCAGGAGACCTTCAGCCCATGGCTCTTCTCAGGATCCTGAGAGGCGGGGCATGTACTCTTCCATCATGGCTACAGATGGGAAAAGTGAGGGCCAGATGGGTCAATTTTGTTCCCCTTTCTGGGGCCTCCATTTTCCAGCTGAAAACCAAGGCCATTGGACAATGGCATTTCCAAACAGTGGGGTTAAGCATTCTTTCCTGCACCTTAGCCTATCCCTTGTGCTTGGGAGCTCTGAGGGGGACTGGGGGTGGCCTGAGGGTGAGGGGCACAGAGCCGTGCTGTTTTGGTTGACATATCTCCATGTGCTCTGAGCCCATGGAGCATGTGGGAACCTTGTGGGGTCGTGTAGAGCTTGGGGAGGGGCATCCGAGGGTCCCTGAGCTCTGTACTGTCTCTGACCCTGCTCTCGCTGCCACAGAGAAACTCAACACGTACGTGACCTTGAAGGTGCAGAATGTCAAGAGTACCACCATCGCTGTCCGGGGCAGCCAGCCCAGCTGGGAGCAGGACTTCATGTTGTGAGTCTGCTGGGCAGGCCTGGATCCTCCGGATCATCTGGGGCTCCCCTCCCTCTGCACCGAACCCAACCGCTTCCCCCTTCTCCACGGCCACCAGCCAAGTCCCTGCTGCCACCTCACCTCCCTCCAGGCCTCCTGTGCCAACCACCTCCCGCAATCTGTTCTCTGCCAGGCAGCCAGGAGGATATTTTTAAAACTGCAAATCACATCCTGTCGCTCCTGGGTACCAAACTTGTCCGTGGACCTCAGAATAAAACCAGCTCTCCTCCCACGGCCTCTGTAATCTCCCTCCTGCCAGTATCTCCCTCCACAGTGTCCTCCCTCGTTGGCCCAGTCCCAACCACCTCTGTACTGCCCTCCAACTTGCCCAACCCTTCTGCCCCAGGGCCTTTTCACATGCTTGTCTGGCTCCCCAGCTGGCTCGTTCTTGTCCTTGGGTCTCAGCTTCTGACACCTCCTCAAGGAAGCCCTCCCTGAACCCACCCCCAAACTGTGATTTCAAAGCACCCAGTCCTTCCCAGGCCTTGCCACCATTTGTCATTTGAGCCCATTTGTGTGATTTGTGGACACACATTTCTGTACTCCATCTCCACCACTGGACTCTGAGTTCCAGGAGAGTAGAGTCAGGTATGTCTCAGTCCCTGCTGTGACCCCATTCCCAAGCACAGGGCCTGGCACACAATGGCCAGGATTCAATAAGGGCACCCTGAGCCTTTACTGGATTTGTCTCAATAAGGATTTGTCTAATCACTGAATGAATGAATGACCTGGACTCTTGCCCCAGCCTAGAGCCCCCAGAATCTCATACTCCCTACTCACAAAACAACCTTGCGCCCCATGTACATTGATGACGGAGAATGACTTGTGCCAGGTCCTGTTCCAATGCTTTGCATATACTGATTGATTCAGCTCTGCCCACAACACTGCGAGAGGGTTGCTATCATAATCCCCATTTTACAGATGAGGAAACAGGAGCTCAGAGAGGCAGAGCCACCTGCTCTATGTCACACTGCCTATAAGTGGCATGTCTGGGATTTGAACTCAGGCATCCTTAACCTCTGGGGTGTTCCTTGGGTGGGGCCTGGCTGGGGATGGTCGTGGTGGAGGCTACTAGAGGTCCTAGAGTTGGTGTCCTAGGGTAGAGGAACATCCCAGGAAAGAAGGAAGGAGCTGAACTCCCAATTCTAGAGGAGATGTGAAGGGGAGGACAGCATGGCCTCAACTCACTGAAAGCCAGTTACTGACTGGCCAGGTCATGGTCAACAGATGTATTTAAATAAGACGGTCTTCAGGATAAATCTTTGATAGATTGATTCAGCCAGTGAATCAGATGTTAAATTTTCCATCCAAATTGGCAGATTTCTGGGTTAGATCCTGTAGGGAAAGTGGCTGGAGGTGGGATCATGCATATGCAAGAGGGTATCTTCATTTGATTGGAGGGAGACAACACTGTGAAATACGGAGGTACCCCGAATGTCCTTACCCTGGAGGAATAGGAAGCCATGGAAAATTTTTGAGTCTCTTGCCTGCTAACCCAGCATTGCCAGGTCTGAGTGTACAAGGAAGGGCCAGGTGAATTGGGAGTGCAGGAGACATGTGACATCCTGGTTCTGCTGTGAGACACTGAGCTAGTAACTTCTCCCTCTGGGTCTCAGTTTCCTCTCTGTGAAATGAAGACCACTGTGTTATCTTGTTTCATCTCCTTGTGGATTCCAGTCTGCTGTTTGTCCTCAGGTGAGTGAACTGACTTCTCTGAGCCTTCTTTCCCTCACTTTTGTCCCTCAATTTTCTTCCCCTCTCTCCACAGTGAGATTAACCGCCTGGACTTGGGGCTGACCGTGGAGGTGTGGAATAAGGGGCTCATCTGGGACACGATGGTGGGTACTGTGTGGATCCCACTTAGGACCATCCGCCAGTCCAACGAGGTGAGTGGGGGCCAAGGATGAGGAGGAGGAGCTCCTATAGCTGCAGTAAAATGAATGCTTATCCCCCACCCCACAATAACCTCCTCATTGACATCTGTGGTGGTGCCAAAGTCCCCAGGGCCTAGACTCCTTCCATCTAGTTGCTCTGCTTCAACCTAATGGCACAAGATGACTGCAAGAGACTCACCATTGCATCTGCATTCCAGCCAGAGGAGAGCAAGATGGCAAGGGAGGGGGCTCACCCTTCTATTTCAGCTGCTGATGTCACTTCCTCCACATCTTATTGTCTAGACTTAACCATGTGGCCACACCTAGCTGCAACGGAGCCTGGGAAATGGAATCCTAAGCTGTGCACTCATGGCCCAGCTAAAAACATGTACTGTGGAAGAGGAGAAGGGAAATTATAGGCACTAGAATTTTGTGCCCCAGATGGGCACAATGGAAGGTTATACCAGCCCCAAGAAGAGAGGTAGACAAGAACCCAGGCCTCTCAGCCTTCCTAGAGGATGACCTTGTGTGTTAATCCCCATCTCCATCCCCACAGCCCAGCCTCCACCCCAGCCTCCTGCCTGACCCCTTAGCCTTCAGTCCACTCCCATTTCACTCAGCCCCTCCATGGGGTCAGGACCTTACTCCCCAAGGGTTCTGTCCTACCTACCTCTCAGGAAGAAAATCCAATTTCTAATTCACACAGGATTGTACCTGCTCACTTTGTTGACCTCATCGCCCACCACATCCAGCCTCTACCACTCACAGTCCCCAAGGATGACCTCAGGGTCTTCCTTCACATTTACTGTTGCCTCAGCTTCCAGTGTCTTCCCTCAAGGTTCCAGCTCTGATGGTCCTCTTCCAGGAAGCCCTCTCTGATACCCCTTGAGTCCCCTAGCCCCCTCCCTCCCTCTGGCCCAGTGTTGACCCCATGAGACAGGAGGTGTCCACTCTGTCCTCTCTTGGGGATCTCAGCACACCCAGCATGGGCCAAGCAGCAGAGACACTAGAGAAGGTCTATTGTTGAATGAATGAATGAATGAATGAAGAGGGAGCAAATGGGTGCAAATAGTCTAGGCAAATGAGGCCAAAAAAGAAGCCTTCCTCGGTGGTCCCCAAATGGGAGGAAAGCTACCACGCAGGAGACCCCAGATCAACACCTCTGTCCCCCAGCCTCTTTCTGGAGCTTCAGAAAACACATTCCACAGAAGATCGTTCTCATTTGAGAAATGATGACACTGAGATCAGAGTGTACCCCTCCAGCCCGCAGGAGAATGTTGGCTCATTTGCTTGGGTGTGTTTTTAGATGGTGGATGGATCAGGGCTTTCATTTGAAATCAAGTCTCCATACCCCCTCATCAGGGTCAGGGAGCAGGCATACAGGGCTGTCCCTGCCTGGCCCCATAGGGCTCACTCTCTGGGTTCCTCAAACCCACCATGTGGCCCATGAATGGGGACCTCCCCTCTGTGAGTAAGATGGGGTGAGGTGGATGCCTCATATGAAAGGAGGGAGACCACTCACTGAGACACTGACCCCTGTCCCCACCTCATGGCCCTAGGAGGGTCCTGGAGAGTGGCTGACACTGGACTCGCAGGTCATCATGGCGGACAATGAGATCTGTGGCACCAAAGATCCCACCTTCCACCGCATTCTCCTTGACACCCGCTTTGAGCTGCCTTTAGGTGAGTGTGGGGCCTGAATGCCTGGCCCATCCCTGCCTTGCTTCCTGAGGTCACCTAGTGAGACCAGAACAATGATTGGACCCTGGTGAAGGGAGCTGACACTTCATTCTGCAGATGAGGGTCCCGACCCCCAGAGGAGAGTTTCCTGGTTTGCAGGCATCTACTGGTCACGCACCTGTTGTATGCAGAGCACGTCCCAGCCTTGCCTGTGCTGAGGGGGAGCCACAAGACTCAGGTCTGAGCTTCACTGGTGTTTGGTGAGGCTTTAGGTTGCAGGAGTGAACTGGGGGTTGGGGAAGAGGCAGAGAGAGAGAGAGAGAGAGAGAGAGAGAGAGACAGAGGCAGAGAGTAAGACAGAGATAGTAAGAGAGACAGAGGCAGAAAGACACAGGGAAAGACATAGACAGAAACAGAAAAAAGAACTAGAAAGAGAGAAAAGCAGAGATAGAGAAGCACTGAGACAGAGACAGAAACAGAGAGAGAGATACAGGGAGAAACAGACAGAGGATGGGAGAGAGAGAGACAGGCAGAGGGACAAAAAGAGCCCTGTCTGTCTTTCCTGGAGGCAGCTCCTGTCTTTCCACATTGTCCTTCTGAGAACCCATGATTCCCCCACCCTCATAAAGCTAGGACACATCTCCCCTCTCACCCTCTATCCATTCCTGATGTAGCCATGTGGGGTGAGGGGACGTCAGGTAAGGGGGTTGCTCAATCCTCCCCTTCCCTTCCCCACCCACTCAAAACCAGTCCACCCCCACCCAGACTTTGCCAAAGACCCAAGAGGCTGGGCCAGAGCTCCATAGGCAGGCATAGGATGCTCCAGAGGAGCCGAGGGGCAGGGCAGGCTTCACCAGCTCATAGCCCTGGCTCTGCTCCCAGACATTCCCGAGGAGGAAGCACGCTACTGGGCCAAGAAGCTGGAGCAGCTGAACGCCATGCGGGACCAGGAGGAGGTGAGTATTCGGGGTGGATCTCCTTGGTCCTTGTCTCCTCTGTCTCTTTGCTTCCTCATAACCTCCTGTCTCTTCTCTCTCAGCTTGTCTTCCTCTCCATCTGTGTCTCTAACTTTGTAACCTGATTAAATCAGTGGTGCATGTGGTCCAGTCTCAAAGCAATTATGGGATCCCAATAGAACACAGTCCACCAATCACGTCACAATTTCAAACAACTCAAATTCTGCATTTGTCAAATGCACTTTAATAGGTCCATGGTCCCTGGAAGCATTTCTTACACCTTCTTTCTGCCCACACACCTGTCAGGTCCTAAGTGACACTGAAACTTTCCTGAAAGTCCTCCCTCCCACTACTCCTAGCCCTTGTGCCTCTTTGTCTTCCATGTCATCCCCTTTCTTCTTGGCCCTGCATCATCACAGTGCAAAGACCCAGTGTAGCCCTGGAAGACAGTCTTCAGAGAGCAAGAGCAGGAAACAAACAGAAGGCAAGAGCAGGACATTTTTTAGTGAGAAGCTGAGGGAAAAGGAGCAACCAAACCAAATCAGTTGCCATTATGTCAGCCCTGACTCATAGTGACCTGTGTGTGTCAGAGTGAGACTGTGCTCCATGGCTTTTCAATGGCTGGGGAACTGATCACCAGGCTTTTTCCTGAGGCACCTCTTGGTGTACTCAAACCTTCAACCTTTCAGTTAGCAGCCAAGCACCTTAACTCTTTGCATCACCCACTGTCTTAGTTATCTAGTGTTGCTATAAAAGAAATACTCAAAGTGGGTGGCTTTGTTGTTGTTGTTATGTGCCGTGGAGTCGGACCCGACTGATAGTGACCCCTTCTTGGGTTTCCGAGGCAGTATCACTACGAAGCTATCTTCCTTCCGAGAAGTGGCTGGTGGGTTTGAACCGCCAGCCTTCTGGTTAGCAGTCAAGTGCCTTAGCCACTATGCTACCAGAGCTCCCATAAATTAATTTTTGCATAAATTAATTTTCGCACAGTTTAGGAGGCTGGAAGTCTGAATTCGGGGTGCCAGCTCTGGAGGAAGGCATTCTCTCTCTGTCGGCTTCTCTTTCTCAGTTCCTTGGTGATCTCCACGTGGCTTAGCATCTCTCTTCCTCCATCTCTGTTTTTTTTTTTTTGCTTCTTGCTTGATCTGCTCTTTTATATCTCAAAAGAGATTGATGTAAGACACATCCTACACTAATTATGCCTCACTGACATAACAAAGAAAACCCATTCCCAAACGGGATTACAACCACAGGTATAGGGGTCAGGATTTGCAACATATATTTGGGGGAGGGATACCATTCAACTCATAACACCCAGGCACTCTAAAGGAGCAACACTCATGTGTTCCTAACTTTTGTCCAAACTCATCTTCTTCTTTCTTTAGCTCCTGGACTTCATCTTTTCTGTCTCTGTGTTTCTCTCTTCAGCTGTGTTTCTTTTTTCTTTAACTCTGTTTCCCACTGTCTCTCTGTCTCTGGGTGTCTTTCTCTCCCCCTTTATCTCTCTATCTCTGTGGATACTTGTATCCTTCTCCTCCAGAGGGAGGGGACCGAGGAGGTAGGAAGGAGTCAAATGGGACAGAGCTATGCTGGTTCTCTGCTTCTGCCCCTGTGACGAGCCCTCTCTCCTTCCCTTCCCTCAGTACTCCTTTCAAGATGAGCAAGAGAAGCCTCTCCCTGTCCCCAGCAACCAGTGTTGTAAGTACTTCTCACTTCCTCTCTGGAAGGAACCCTCATCCCTCCCCATGCTGTGACTGTCCTGTCTAAAGGGTCATAAAGAGAGATAGGTCCTGAGAGTGACCACAGTGTCTCCTCATAGTGTAGTGGAAAGAAGAAGAGATCTGGAACTTGGTTTGAGTCCTTCCTTGTCACATACCACAGGTAGGCCAGTGCCCCTCTCTGATCCTTAGGGTCCCTCTCTTTGAAATGGGCATCTGATAGCCCTCTCACTCTGAGGGCTGTTGGAAAGATTCAAGGTCTTCAATTCCATCCTATCGTTCCTTAAACTATTCATGGGGCCAACCCATCTGTGTCTGATGGCACAAACAGACACTAACCAAATGAGTCCTCCAACATACGTACAATGGACGAAGGCTGTTTCATGTGCCCATTTTCACAGGTAAAGAAACTGAGGTCCAAGAAAATTGACTTGGTTACATAGCCAACAAGTGGAAGAGTCAGAATTTGAACTCAGGTGTAAGGAACTCCCACCTTGCTTCTCTTTCCACTGCACCATATCTATTAATTGTTATGATGATCATGTTACTCTGCCTGCTGACCCCCCATGAAGGCTGGAGTTTTCAATGTTGTTTATCTTCCTTGGCCCTGTGGATAGTTAGACCCAGACTAGTTCTGTACGGGTCAAGGAGATATTCTACCTCTTAAAAGCACCCTCTAAGTCATCATGGTGGGGAAGAAGTGGCAAATCATACAGTGTCAGAGCAGAAGCCTTGGCCACTGGCACCTGGCCCCGCTCCCAATCCAGCCTCCTCCTTTTCCATCTGCTTTCCCATTCTCTTTCCCTCCCCTCTCACAGTCTCCCCCGTATCCGTTGTCCCCTCTACGTGCCTAGGATAGTGGTGATGAAGCTTCAGGGGGTGGGAAGGTCTAGAGTTCTGCATTTGGGGAGCCCCATTTCCACCAGAATTTGGCATGTGATATTGAATGGGTCCCTTGACATCTCTTGGAGGAATTTCAACCCCTCCTCCCAGAGAATGGATTGGGGGTAGGGACATGCAAAGTGGGGGCAGGAGCAGAGCAACAAACAGTACCTGAAAGGTGGGATGAAGCCGAGGGGTGGGCATGAATTGGAAAATAGAACCCATTGCCCAGCATTTACCTTTGAGTCCTTTGGGGAGTGTTTCATCACCCCCATTCCACAGACAAGTTAGCCAAGAGTCAAAAGAATTAGGACTCAGTTCCAGGGTATTTTCTGAGATGCCAGCCATTGGGAATAAGCAGGGAGGAGACATGGTTCTCTCCCTGGCCCTGATGCTCAGAGGCTGTGTGACTTTGAGCCACTCACTTCATCTCACTGAGCTTTGTGTCTTCATCTGTAAAGCGAAGAGAATGACAAAACCTACCCAACAGGGGTGTTTTGAAGCTTAGGGTTTCCAGTTCAGTGTTTCTTTCCTTGTCCTCAAGTCTAGGGGGAGCCCAATGCCCCCCTTGTAACTCTGTGGCTGAGCCTATAGCCTCAATGAAAAATAGGGATATACCACCTTCCTCTCAAGATGGTGAGGGTTCAGTGAGAGACAGCATGACTGGTGTCAGCAGTTAAAATGATACTTGGGGAAGAGGGACAGGAACGCATTGGTGTCCTGGGGTGGATGAAGAAATGGGAAGAAAGGAGGATGGGGGAGCCCTCCTGCTCCCCATGCCCACCCCTCTGCCTGCTCCCCTTTATTATCTCTGCCCCTTCTCTTTGTAGGCAACTGGAATTATTTTGGCTGGGGTGAGCAGCAGAGTAAGTACTCAGCTATTTGTTCTGGGTGGTCATGGGAAGGTGGGTGCCTTGGTGCCTGAGGCCCCCCACCCCACTGCACAGGAAAGTGGGGAGTTGATACAACCCCTCTTGTGCCCTCCTGCCCCGTCTTGGGATTCCTGCTCTGCCTGATGGCACTGCCACTGGGGCGGGGGTGGATTCAATGGACTGGTGGGCATTTAGACTGGAGACTTGCCCTGTCCCCAGCTGGGCACTGTGTCCCCCCTACCCCTGCTCCCCATGTATAACTTCATCTCCCTTCCTGTGACCCTTTGCCTTTTTTGTCTCCCATCTTCCTCCTCCACCAGGAAATGGCCCCAGTGTCACTCATATGGGTGGGGAGGGGAGGGGAGAGGGTCTCAGGCAGAGGAGCTGGGCACGGACCCTCGGGCAGATAGCACTCTAGAAACCTCAGCCTCAAAAGCACCTCTCCACACACAAATACTTTCCTTCTCTTTTCTCCTACGAGAAGGAAGCCAGACCCTTCCAATTAGATGCCCATTTTTCTCCATTTTCCCATTTACTTCTTTCAGGAGAAATTCAGTCCTTCTAATCTGAGTCATGAAACTATGTGCTTTTCTGTTGTCCACCAACTGGAGGGTCCTCCATTCCTTCCCCATATCCTGGTGGACCAGCCCAACCTTCCCTTCCTTCAGGACCAGGGTAACTGTTTACAAACGCTTTGATCCAAAACAATTTGTCAAAAACAAATTGGTTAGAAATCAGTTTAGCTTAAACAGGCATTTTGCAGATGGGATGGCTTGATAACAGTCCATTTGCCACAAAATGAAAGCAAAGACAATCTAATTGGCAATCATTTGTCCCCTCAAATGACAATTTGTCAGGGGAAAAAAAGTAATTTGGTGAACACACAAACAGCCCATGTGATTTGGTTGAAAACATCTTGGCAAGATCAAGCACCATTTGGTAGAAAAATACTGGTTTGGCTAAAGACTATAAATCCAGATAATTGGATAGAAACAAGATTGGTCAAAGGGGAAATTTGGTTACATTGATGAAACGTCTAGAGGTTTGTGGGATTGTATATAGCATTGCTGTTTCATTCTGATTCACACAAATCTAAATCGTAGGACTTTGTGGCAAGTTTGCATTGGCTTTTGCCTATAACGTCAAAGCTAACACACAGCCCATCAAATGGTGATCATGTATCACAGAGACATGAAGACAAGAAGACAAGAAGAGCTTGTGGGTCATAGTGGCCCAAGTCAAATGAGAAGTCAGGAAACCAGAGATACTGTGGTAAAGCTGGCTTTGCTAGCTAAAAATGAATGTAAGATTTTTCTGAAAGCAAAACAACTAGGGAACAGTCAAAATAACTTTTTATATGAAGTATAAAATTAATTTTTGAACAATTCACCACATTTTAAATGTTTGGGCCTATTTTTTCAAACTTACAGAAATGAACTTAGTTAAGAATAACTTCTTGTTGTGTGCCATTGAGTCGGATCCGACTCATAGCGACCCCTCCTTGGGTTGCCAAGGCAGTATCACTACGGAAGTAGATTGCCCAAACTTCCTTCCGAGGAGTGGCTGGTGGGTTTGAACCGCCAGCCTTCTGGTTAGCAGTCAAGTGCCTTAGGCACTATGCTACCAGAGCTCCCTAAGAATAACTAGAAAGTGAAAAATAATAAACTAAGAAAAAATAGACAGACATCTGGGAAATGAGCAAAAATAGTTAAAGACATAAAAAGGTGCAAACCATCTTCTTGGTGTGTGAAATCGCCAGTAAATTCACACCATGGCTGAGTGTACCAGAGCGACCCTATCAAGATTTCAACTTTCCTTCTCGGCTAATGGGCTTTCAACCACGTTATTGCTTTCTAACTAAATTGAAACCACTGTGATCACCACTCATCTGTCAGTCTGTCACACTGTGGTGCCTTGCATGTGGCTGTGAGGCTGGAAGCTTTGCTGCAGGTATTTCAAATACTAGCAGGGTCCCCCATGGTGAACAAGTTTCAGTGGAGCTTCCAGGTTAGGACAGACTGGGAAGGAGGATGAGGCCATCTACTTCTGAAAAAACTGGCCACCAAAGATGTTATGAATAGCAGTAAAACACTGTCTGATATAGTACTGGAAAACTTTATGAGTAGCAATGAAACATTGTCTGATATAGTGCCAGAAGATGAACCTCTCAGGCTGGAAGGCGCTCAGAATACAACTCGGAAAGAGCTGCCTCCTCAATGTGGAGTTGACCTTAATGATGTGGACCTCCATTAGCTGATGTGGCACAACTCAAAATGGGAAGAAACAGCTGCAAACATTCATTAATAATCAGAACATGGAATGTACAAGTGTGAATCTAGAAAAACTGGAAGTTGCCAAAAATGAAATGGAACACATAAAGATTGATATCCTAGGCATTAGTGAGGTGAAATGGACTGGTATTGGCCATTTTGAATCATACAATCATATGGTCTACTAGGAAGGATGGGCAATCTACTTCCGTAGTGATACTGCCTTGGAAACCCAAGGGGGGTCGCTACGAGTCGGGTCTGACTCGACGGCACATAACAACAACAACAACTACGTTGAGTTTCTCTCTTCCCACCACACTTAGTGTCTCCTTCACACGTCCTCCGCCCTGTGACTGTCCTGTGACACACACACACATAAACACACATTGAAAGCAGGCAAAGTCCACAGGTCCCTCTCACGACTGGTCAGAGATTTTTGGAGTCTGGGGTGTCCTCTCCCACCCCCTTTTCTGTACTCTTCAGCTTTTCTACATGGACTCTGTTTTACTCTGCTTTCCAAATAAAGATAACCGAATTACTGCCGTTTTAAATTATAAGAGTAATGTGTGCATTGTCAAAATTCAGAAGGTACAACACATGCAATGGAATTCTCTCAGTATAAAGAGAAATGAAGTTCGGATGCATGGCGCATGGATGGACCTAGAAAACATTGTACTGAGTGAAATAAGTCAGTCATAAAAGAACAAGAATTATATGATCTCACTTATATGAAATAAGCAAATATATGTTGCTGTTAGTTGCCACATGGGTGGGTTTGAACTGCCAACTTTTTTCAAGTGCTTAATAACAAAAAAAAAAAAAAAAAAAACAGCCTACTGCCATCAAGTCAATTCCAACTCGTAACAATCCCCATTGGGTTTCCAAGGCAGTAAATCTTTACAGAAGTAGATTGCCCAATCCTCGTCCTGCGGAGTGACTGGTGAGTTTGAACTGCCAACATTTTGGTTAGCAGTCAAATGCCACCAGAGCTCCTTAGCAAATATGTGGAAATAAAAAATGATTAGCTGTTACCAGGGGTGGAAAGGAGGGGAAAGGGGACGTTTTTGCAGGAGCATTGAGTTTATCCTAACGAAAACTCAAAACTCACTACTGTGGAGTCAGATCCGACTCACAGAGACCCCTCCTTGGGTTTCTCAGGCAGTATCACTACGGAAGTAGATTGCCCAACCTTCCTTCTGAGGAGTGGCTGGTGGGTTTGAACTGCCAGCCTTCTGGTTAGCAGTCAAATGCCTTAGGCACTATGTCACCAGAGCGCCCAACACCAAAGGATAGTGAGATTAATTGCATAACTTAAAGAATGTAATCAATGCCACTGAATTGTACATGTAGAGATTGTTGAATTGGTGGATGTTATGCTGCATAAATTTTCACCATGATTCTAAAAAAAATCGAAGGCACAGAAAGGAAAGGGGACAATCCCTGAGTATCTGGTTTCCCAGATGCATTGCTTTTAGATTTAGACTTTTGTTTTTTAAAATTTCAATAAAAATAATAATCATCTTTTGTACTAAGAAAATCAAACCAAGCCAAAACATCCTTTCATTTTTATTACACACTTGAAGTTTGGTAACACTGATGTTCCACTTTAGTGATAGATTCTGGGTGTGTGGCGATCTCACCAAATTAAAAATCTAATCCTTTTTTGAGTGAAATGGTATCTTGCTACAGCCTCTTCTCAGCTTCTGTGCATGTGAGTTTGGGTCTAGGTCCCACCTGTCTGATAATCAGGAAATCTCTGTGTTATTCCACCTGGTTCTGATAGCCCTCCAGCTTGCCCCATGTGCTTACATGTGTGCCTCCCCTTATGGGGTGCTCACTGCCTGATGGAAATACCCATCTCATTTTCAGAGCCCCCAAATTGGCAAAGTCCCTCCTCACATTTAAGCTGAAAGACACCCTCTAATTTGTCCTTGCCCTTCTCACATTGTAGGACCCACTTTAAACTATAGGCTTCAGGTCTAGTTTGGTCTACATGAGGCAAAACAGGATTTTCACCTCCCTTACCCTATAGCATATGCCTTTATTAACATGACCCAAAATCCTTCATCTATTCTGGGAGACATTCTTCTCCTTGGGTTGGCAGCCAGTAAAGACCTCCTAAGTCTGGGAGACTGCACTGGCCCCTATTGTGTGTTCTCACTCTCTCTCCCCTCCTCACCTTCTACCCCTACCTTCTTTCTCCTCTAGACGATGACCCCGACAGTGCAGTAGATGATCGTGACAGTGATTACCGCAGTGAGACCAGCAACAGCATCCCACCACCCTATTACACCACGTCACAGCCCAACGCCTCTGTCCATCAGTATTCTGTCCGCCCACCACCGCTGGGCTCCCGGGAATCCTACAGTGACTCCATGCACAGTTATGAAGAGTTCTCTGAGCCTCGGGCCCTCAGGTAGCCACCGTGGGATGGGCTGTGAGTGAGGCCCCTTCTCTGTCCTGTGGAGAGAAGACAGGAGTGTAAGGCAAAAGGTAGCTGGTGGTGGAAGGAAGAAGATGTCCTGCCCTTTCTTGGGGGCAACAGAGCCCTTTCTCTATCCATAACCATTGGGTCTGCTTTGGCTTGGCAGAAGAAAGGGAGACAAGTCAAGAGGTTCCTAGATGGTCCTCTGAAATATGAGGGCTCCTTTAAAAGCCACTCTTCCCATGTAGTCTCTAACTGGGCTGGGGGGCAGGGAAGAGATGAGGATTGATGGAGAGCAGTGAGGCACAGTGATGTTGGAGAGACTCTCAGGGCACAGCTGGGTGGTGGTCCTGGGTGGCCCTGCCCAGCCCTCCCTGGTGGTTCCTGACCCTGTGTCCCCACCCAACAGGTGTGGGCCCAGCTGCCATCACTCTGTCCTTGAAAGCAGGCTGTCCCTACACCTGTCAGACAGATGGGCCCCCAGCCCACATAGGCCACTCGCTGCCCCGTGCTGTGTGCTGGGCTTGAGCATTGGAGGCTAAAGTCCACACTTGTGGCCCTCCTCACCACCCCCTGATCGCTCCACTCTGGTTTCTAAAGCAAACAGTGGCAAACAGGATGTTAAACAGGTGAGACATGTGTGAAACACTTAGGGCTCTACTCTGGAAGTGCCATGGAGTGACTGTTAGATAAACAAATTGTACAGATAATGGTATCAAGAGCCTATTATGCACCAAGTGCGGGTTCAAAACCTTCTCTGCATCATCTTATTTCATTCTCTGGGTGGGAATGCTATTAACAGATGGGGAATCAAGGCACAGAGAGGTTAAATAAGTTACCTGAGGTCACACAGCTGGCAAATCATCATAAGAAATTACAAAAAGGTGCATCTGTTGGATGTCAGGCAGTGGTGTGGTATGATTTTTGGTAGTGGGTTCTCGACCTAGATGGTTGTCCCCCACCCCCACCCTCCAAGAGTACATTGCCCCCATTAAAGGGTGAGCAGGAAGGACATTTTGAGTACTGGGGACTCCTCTGATGTTGAATCTATACTTCTATTAATGTAGTCCAAAAATGTACTCCCTTGGGTTGAACCTACACTTCTATTAATATGGCCAAAAAATATATACTCCCTTGATACTGAACCCATATTTCTATTAATATATAATATATAATATAAAAAAAACAGCTCTGGTGGCATAGTGCCTAAGGCATTTGACTGCTAACCAGAAGGCTGGCAATTCAAACCCACCAGCCACTCCTTGGAAGGAAGATTGGGCAATCTATTTCTGTAGAGATCTGCCTCGGAAATGCAAGGAGGGGTCGCTATCAGTTGAATTGACTCGACTGCAGTGAGTCTGGATTTTTTTTTCTGGTTATTAATATTTCTATTAATATAGTAAAAAAAAAATCACTAAGATTTTAGGCTCAGTTCATACCAATCCCAGGGCCTCCTGTTACTGTGAGAGCCTGACAGAGCCTCTGGAGTCTCAGGTTCAGGACTAGGGTGGGGCGAGTGAGGCAGTTGTCTCAGATGCTGAACTTAAGGGGGCATCCAAACACTCAGTCATCAAGGTAAATAATATTCAATGCAGTGTTTTAAAAAGTCAGAATGAATGCAAAAAATTCACCAAAATATACCCTTAGAAAGGTGGATCTTATTGTATGTAAAGTATTCTTCAGTCAAGTTTTAAAAATTCCTGATAAACAAAATAGCAACATTTCAAATAAATACAGAATTCGACCCTGTACTTGCATGACTCAGCCTGGCTCAGAGGTGTAGCGAGGGTAATGAGTGCCTCAGAGCAGTCTCTTAAGTTGCTCCCTCCCCCCAGTTTGAGCACCCAGCAGGTGACATCTTCCCAATTTTAAGATGAGTAGATGTAAGGAGCTCTGGTAGCACAGTGCCTAAGGCATTTGACTGCTAACCAGATTGGTGGTTCAAACCCACCGGCCGCTCCATGGAACCATAAAGGTTCACCACCTCAGAAACCCAGTGGGGGTCGCTATGAGTCAGAATGTCAATTCAATATCAGTGAGCTTTTTTTTTTTTTTTTTGGTTTTGGAGATGTTGGTAGTGGCCACACATCAGCAGAAACGCCTTCCCCCCTTTTGTCCATCTGCCTGAGTAAGGTACCTTTCATGTTTGCATCACAGTGGAAGGTCATTCCACACTTCATCTGGTGCCCCCTTGGACTTGGCAAATGCCCCCCTCTGCCCACTCCCTCACTATGCCTCTGGCCTCACACACTGCACCCAGGTCCTGGCCTTGCTATACTTGTCTATAAGCAAGAAAGTGAGTCCCAGGGTTGCTCAAATGGTTAAATGTTCAACTATTATTGAAAGGTTGGTGGTTCAAACCCCCCCAGAGGCACCTAGAAAGACAGGTCTGGTGATGAACACGCTCAGTCTCTCTTAGCCGGCCGTCTCTCTGCCAGTCTCTCTCAATCTCTCTCAGCAGTGCATCTCTCTCAGCAGCACTCTTTCTCAGCTGCCAGAGAGATTCCTTCTGCCTCTGGGAGGACTCATTTTGAGCCTGGCAGAGTAGCAAAACCAACCAATCCCAACATCCGAGTTCTACACATCTGAGAGAAGGCAAACTTTCCCAGAAGGTTACTTCATGCTGCCCCAAGTGGATGACTTGAATAAGCAGCTACTCAGTTGCTCACAGTAAAGTGGGAGTTACAAAGACTATGGCGAGAAAAGCCATACCATGTAATTCACTACACTGCAAGAGTAGAACTGCTCTGTAGGATTTTCCTGGCTATAATCTTAACAGAAGCAGGTCACAGGGCTTTCTTCCCTGGTACCACTGGGGGTTCAAATCACCAACCTTTAGGTTAGCAATCAAGCACACTTTGTACCACTTGGGGACCTACAGAAGCAGAAACTGCCTTGAGCTGCCCGCCACTGGCTGCCCCTCCAGCTGTACTGCCCAGAGCTGCCCTGAATGACTGGGGAAAACAGAGTTGTAAACAGATATTCCCAACCCACAGGGTCAGGGCTCAATTAGAGGGCAGAACAGGGCTGAGGGCTCTGGGGGAAGGCAGGGAGGGCTTCTTGGAGGAAGGTGCATGGGAGGTAGGTCTTGAAGGACAACTGAGGTGGCCAAGGATGGGTAAGGAATTCCAGGAAGAGGAAACAGCTTAGCTAAAGGCTGGAGGGGTAGAGAGGGGCTAGGTCATGTGGGAAGCCCTTGGGGGCCAAGCTCAAGGGCATGAACTTGATCCAGAGATGCCTGGGAGGCAGAGGAGGTGCTGAGTGGGGCCAGAGCTGTAGTGAGACCCTGGATGTCTGAGCCTTGGTTGGGGAGTCTCCGGGTCCCATGCCTCAGTCTGAGAAGCAACAGCAAAACCCAGGTTAGTTCACATGGTGCCTGAAGTCCCAAGGCAGGTGGGTAGGTCCAGCCCCAGATCCTCTGACCCCAGTCCTAGGCTGCTGCCCTCACTGGGGATCCCAGGCTGTACTGGGGTGTACTTCACCCTACTGGTGAGTCTGGGGTCCTTTGTTACAGCAAAAACAAACAAACAAAGCTACTCACCCTGCCACATTCCATCTCCTGCTTGCTACAATTGTTGTTAGTTGCCTTCCAATGATTCCAGCTCGTGGGTGAAAATACCACTGCTCCATAGGGTTTTCAAGGCTGTGCCCTTTTGGAAGCAAATCACCAGGACTGTCTTCCTATACACCTCTGTGTGGGTTCGAACCTCCAACCTTTTGGCTAGTAGTCCAGTGTTTTACCATTTCTGCCACTCAGGTATTCCTGCTCCAATGACAAGTACTAAATATGCAAACTAACAAGAACTGGAGGGGGGTTCCCCATTTTGCTTTCTACAGGACTTGCTGGGGAAGGGGGTTTCAGGCATTGAGAGTGGACAGAGTATTTAAGAAAGGAAGTGAGAAATTTGTTGAGTGATTGAGCGCTTAGAAGGGGAATGAATTGTGACCCATAAGTCATGGTGCAAGCCCGTCCCCAGGTAGAGGCAAATATTTTTTCCTGGTCTAGAGGGCTCTAGGAGCTGATAATAAGGTGGGACCTGACCTGGCAGGGCTGGGGGTGACTTACCCAAAGAAGTGACATTTCAGTGGGCAATGGAAGAATGAATAGGAGTTTGCCCAATAAAGCAGGCAAGGAGGGGTGATCCAGGCAGAGGGCACAGCACATGCAAAGGCCCAGGGATGGGAACAAGTGTAGGTTGTCGGAGGAACGATGAGGAAGAGAGTGAGGGGGAGACGGAGAGAGGTAGGTTGGGAAGTTGGAGGTTTTGGGCCTCACAGGGGAGAAAGGACATGGCATGGGTTTTGTTCCAAGGACAATAGGGAGCCATGGTAGGATTTGGAGTAGGGGATGATATGATGGATATGGATTTTAAGAAGCCCCCATCCTATGTATGCACAGGGAGACAGCTGGGGGGGGGCAGGAGTGCATGGGAAGAAAGGACACAGGGAAGAGGTAGCTATGGGGAGGAAGTGGAAGGAGAGATGTTGCATTGTGGGAAATTGTAGTCAATGTCGTGAGACAAAGTGTATGTGAGCTGCTGTATGGAAAGTAAATTTGCTCTGTAAACTTTCACCTAAATCACAATAAAAAAAAGGAGAAGAAGAAGCCCCCGTGGCTGCCGTGGGAAACAGGGACTTGGTGGAGCTTGGATTAGGATGGGGCTTGGATCAGTGTGGGTCCCAGCGTTCAGAGAAGTGGATGGATTTGGTCTACATTTTCAAGGGACAGCCAAGGAGACTTGCTGCTGGATCAGCTATGGAGGGAGGTTAAGGTCAGGAGAGAAGGCAGGGAAAACTCAGGCCTTGGCCTGGGAGGCCCAGGTTGAGGCTGGGGCCAATCAAGAGCGGGGTGTGGCCTTGTTTATGTTTCAGGAGCTCCAGGTGTCCCATGGGGCATGGCGAGGACACCAGTTATGGGTCGCAGAGTCTGCAGCCCCTGAGTGAGTGGACGAGCACAAGACTGCTCCCAGTAGAGCTGCCACTATAACCAACTGGGTTCTGTCTTCATTCAGTTTGCTCATTCAGTCACTCCACAAACATTCTCACTCCCTGTGCTAAATGCCCCCTCCACTCAATACCTGGGATCCACTTCCCCACTGGCCCGGGGGACACTGTAGAGATAAAAATGAGAATTCTCTCTCCAGTACTTGTTTTTTAGTTAGTTTACACGTATAGTTCATTCCTTTTTAGTATCCATGGCTGTAGATGGCAGGAGCCTGGGTTTTCGATCAACTGCTAACTTAAAGCCACTGAGCAGCACTACTGAAGAAAGGCCTCGTGATCTGCTTCCTTAAAGATTATAGCCATGAAAACCCTATGGGGCAGTTCTGCTTTGTAACACAGGGGGTCGCCATGAGTAAGAGTCAGCTTGATGACAGAGGGTTTGTGTTTGTCATTGTGGACAGTGGGGGACAGGGTATGGGGGTGAACAGTTTTTTAATCTCCTCCAGACCGCAAACTCCAAGAGGGCAGGGAGTTTTGTCTCTTCTGTTCATGGCTATGTGTCCTGGGCAGGGTTTGGCACACAGTAACCTAAAAAAATATATATATAAAAAAAAGCCAAGCCCATTACTAGCCAATTGATTCCAACTCATAGTGAGTGATCCCATGGGTTATAGTGTAGAACTGCTCCATAGGGTGGTTTTGAACTGCCAACCTTTTGGTTGGTAGCCACCTGCAAACAGTTTGTGGCACTGAGGGACCTGGAACATAGTAGGTGCTTAATAAATGACCTGCCCTACTGTCCCTACAGCCCCACGGGCAGCAGCCGCTATGCTTCCTCTGGAGAACTGAGTCAAGGCAGCTCGCAGCTCAGTGAGGACTTCGACCCGGATGAGCAGAGCCTGCAGGGCTCTGAGCTAGAGGACGAGCGGGACCGGGATTCCTACCACTCGTGCCACAGCTCGGTGAGCTACCATAAGGACTCACCACGCTGGGACCAGGATGAGGACGAGCTGGATGAGGACCTGGAGGAGGACCTGGAGGACTTCCTGGAGGAAGAGGAGGAGGAGGAGCTGGAAGAGGAGGAGGAGGAGGTGCCTGAGGACATTGAGCTGACACGGGGTGGCTACTCAGAGCGTGAGGAGCCAGCCGTGTCTGAGCCCAAGGACTTCAAGCGCGTCAGCCTCCCACCAGCCACCTCTGAGAAGGAGGACAAGGCTCCAACCAAACCTGCCGAGGCCTTTGATGTGGCCAAGACAGCTCCTGAGCTGGCCATGCCTGAGGAGGGGCCTGCAGCTGAGCGGACACCTGAGCCAGAGCCCCCCAAGGCAGAGGAGAGGTAAGGGGAGGGGACGAAGGGGGGTCCAGGATGCATGGACATGGAGCCCTTGATGGGGTCGGAGTGGAGTCAGAGAGAGGCCAGAGGTTGTCACGGGGCCATGAAGGGATCTCAGGAGTTGGGAGGGGACTGGAGGGGCAGGTAGGGTTGCAGAGGTCACAGAGAGTCAGAAGGATTCTGGGGCATAAGAGGTGACAAAGGGTCGAGGGGCAGAGCTGTTGAAGGAGCCTGGGATCTTGAAGGCATCAGAGAAGTGCTGGTGGGTGGGAGAAGGGTGAGGGAGCCACCCAGAGGGGTCACATGTGGACCAAACCAAAAAGCCAAACTCACTGCCGTCGAGTTGGATCCGACTCATAGGACCCCTCCTTGGGTTTCCGAGGTGGTATCACTATGGGAGTAGATTGCCCAACATTCCTTCCGAGGAGTGGCTGGTGGGTTTGAACTGCCAGCCTTCTGGTTAGCAGTCAAATGCCTTAGGCACTATGCCACCAGAGCTCCCCACATGTGGACCAGGGTGGCTCAAAAGGGACAGAAAGACCATGGAGAGTTGGTGTTGCTGTGAGAATCCAGGGAAGATCAGGGGTCATAGAAAGCCAGCCCTAGAGCCTCACAACACCCCTGCCTTAGTTTCAGGCCACGGGAGGATGAAGAAAGCCAGGAGGGTCAGGACGCCATGTCCAGGGCCAAGGCCAACTGGCTTCGAGCCTTCAACAAGGTGCGGATGCAGCTGCAGGAGGTGAGTGAGAGCCTAGCCATCTGCCCAGCCCACTAGCATGGCCACGCCCCATATATCAACAATCAGTGCGAGACCCGCCCACACCCAGCTTGGTCCCTGCCCATCAGCTCCACCTCTATCCTGCCTGGCCACTCCCCTACCTAGCCCATGCAACGCCCATATTTAGCAACGCCCAGATTTCAACCAGTCTATGCCCTGCCCTCACACAGCTTGGCCACACCCCCATCTGACCACACCCAGCTCCCCAGCTTGGCCACGCCCTTGTCTGTCCATAGCCAACCCAGGATTCACTTACACACAGTCTGGTCAGGCCCCTATGCAGCTCAAATCCCACCTAATACACCTGAGACTCAGGTTAACCCTTTAGTTGTGAGGCAGTGGGGAGATGAGGATGTTACCTCAACCCTGGGTCTCAGCGGAGAGCTGAGCGATGAACAGAGGCTGGTCAGGTGCAGAAGCCAAGAAGGGTGTACAGGCAGGTGGCATAGCTCCAACAAACGTCCTGGAGCAAAGGTCCTGGGGCATGCGATCAGGTCAAGCAAGTGAGGCTATGAGGAGTGTGGGGTATGTCAGAATCTAGGACTACAGCCCCTGAGAATCCCTTAGTTACAGAGCATGATGCTAAGGAATCCTTAGCATGTTGGAGATGATGCTAATGGATTCCCAAGTGTGAAAGATAAGGCTGAGGAGAGATTCCCCAGTCTGTTTTATAGATGAAAAACGAAGGCCCAGAGACAGCTAGTGAGCTCCCCAAGGACACACAGCCGGGACTAGGAATCAGGCCTCTGACCTGTTCAAAGGGGATACAGAAGTGGGTATGAAGGCTGCCCTGCCCTGGGAAGAGGAAGGGGGACCACACTGACCATGTCTGTCTTCCATCCCACAGGCCCGGGGAGAAGGAGAGATGTCAAAATCCCTCTGGTTCAAAGGCGGGTGAGTAATGGAGCTGTAGGGAGAGGTTTTGGATACAAAGCTCAAGGTTGGTTTGCCCTCAGGGCCTCAGCACAGCTGGAGTGGGGAGGGATTCCATTTATAAAGTGGACAGACCAGATATCCTAGCTATTCTCACGTGGCGTTTCCCAAGTCCAGGAGCTAAAGCCAGTAAAGTGTTTAATCCTCACAGTGAACCCATTTCACAGATGGGGAAGCAGTATAGAGCCTGGCCAAAGCCATTTGCGTAATTCATGACCAATTCCCCTTAGAAATAAATGTAAGGTAAAGAGAAACCCATTTCTTGCTCCATACGTATGCAATACTGGGTGGATCGTTTGCTTTGATTCTGCTTTTTAAATCTCTCAGATTATTGCTAAAGTTGCTAGCCCTTTAATTAGCCATAGTTGTTTGGGCTTGAGATCCTGGGTGGCACAAATGGTTTGTGAGTGACTACTAACCGAAAAGTTGGCAGTCGGCGTCCATCCAGAAGTACCTTGGAAGGCCTGGCAATCTGCTTCCATTAAGATTACAGCCAAGAACACCCTGTGGTACTCAGTTCTACTCAGATGCACATAAGGTTGCCACAAGTCAAAATCAACTTGATAGAAATGGGTTCTGTTTGGTTTGGCCTTAAATGGAGCATTTTGTCATGTCTAGCTTCTATTTTTAAGTTACTGATTTTCAAAGGTGCTTGTCAGCATTACTGGCTCCCTGGGTGGTGTAAAGCGTCAAGCACTTGACTATCAGCCAAAAGGTTAGTGGTTCAAGCCCACTCAGAGGTACTTTGGAAGAAAGGGCTGTCGATATGCTTCTGAAAAGTCACAATGTTGAGAACTCTGTGGATCAGTTCTACCCTGATGAGTTCATGAATCAGGATATTTTTTTTCTCCCTCCCATCGTTTGGGTGGTGAGGTTAGAGGATGCAAAGGGGATTTTTAAATTACACTCATGTTTTAAAAGGCATTCCCTGCACAAATGGTTAAGTGCTGGTCTACTAGCCAAAAGGTTGGCTGTTGGGATCCACTCAGAGGCTCCTCTGAAGTGTGGCCTGACCAACTGCTTCAGAAAGGTGACAGCCTTGTAAAGCCCGTGGGGAGGTTCTACTCTGCACAGATGGGGTTGCCATGAGTCAGGATGAAATGGATGACAACTAACAAGAAGTTTTAAAATAGCGGCAGCACGGTGACCTCCTTTGTAAACAGAGGCAGTGAGACAGCAGCTGTCACTCCCCGGAAGCTGGGCAGGTGTCCTGGGTGGGGGTCCCTGGATGCAGAGGCTGGGATGAGTGGCCCTGTGCACCAGATTTATGGAGGAGGAGCTCTCAGAAGAAACCTGAGAAGCGTGGGGAAAGCAGCTGAGCAAAGATGTAGTTGAGGAGTCACCTAGCCTCAGCCTGGTCCCACGGGGAGCCCTGAAGTGTGAACAGCACCACAGGGTCTGTCCAGAGTCACGGCTGTCAGGAGTCTCATCTATCTCTTGGCCAATGGGAACCATCTGGGAAGGAGCTGTCTCCATGCCCCCAGAGGATTGGTGCCCCTCTCCATCAAGGGGATCTAGATGGCCACTACAGCACCCGCCACAGCGTCCACTTTGACTCACCAGCTAAGCAAAGCCTCCTGGAGATAATAGACGTGATCCTAATTTCCAGTTCCTTAGTCCACATCATGACAATGCCATGTGTTACAGAGTAGAATTGCTCCATTGGGTTTTCTTGGCTGTCATCTTTATGGGCAGTGGATTGCCAGGCCTTTTCTCCGTGGCACTGTCGGGTGGGTTCAAACCGCCAACATTTAGGTTACTTGTTGTTGTTGTGAATGGCCGTCAGATTGACTCCGACTCACAGCGGCTTCGTGTGTGCAGAGCACGGCTGTGCTCCGTGGGGTTTTCATGGCCGTGACCTTGCAGTAGAAGACTGGCAGGCCTCTCCTTGGAGGTGCTTCTGGGAGGGTTCAAACCGCCAGTCTTTTCGCTAGTAGTTGAGCACTTGGCTAACCGTTTATGCCACCCAGGGACCCATGGGGCTGCCATGAGTCTGAATTGACTTGACAGTAACTGGTTTTTTTTTTTTTTTTTTTTGCCCACATCAGCTTTGAAATCACCTCTCAGGACAGTCTTAAAATATGCATATGCATTTCCCATTTGGCGCTTAAAGAAAGGTTTCATGAATATTGTATACTATTTGTTGTTTGTTAATTGCCGTTGGGTCAACCCCACCTCATGGCCATCTTATGTATAATGTGATGAACCTTTTCCCAGTCCTAGGCCATCTTCATGATCTTTGATGTGGTTGAGTCCAGTGTTGTGGCGACTGTCATATTATTTAAAGAAATCTTACGTCACTTTGCCTTAATTCAAATGTTCATTCAACGTGGGCAACCACACCGTCTCCACGTTTCCCAGATGAGGAAGTTGAAGTCCAGGGAGGTCGAGTGACCTGCCCAGGCCCCAGGTGATGTCTGTGTGAGGGGTGCCTAGGCCCTCAACAGCCCTGTGTGTGTCTTGCAGCCCTGGTGGTGGCCTCATCATCATTGACAGCATGCCTGACATCCGCAAGCGGAAGCCCATTCCCCTTGTGAGCGACCTGGTGAGCCCCTGCACCTTCTGCTCCCCTGCTAAGCAGGCTTGCCTGGAGCAATGCCTAACCTGTGCAACTGCTCATGGCAGCCCTGGGTCTGGGGGATGGCAAGGTGTTCTCTGGGACTAATGTAGTCTGATTTCTACTCCACTTGCTGCATGGATATGCAGGCCATGGTAAGTGACAGTGACTGGGGACCCTGAGTCTGTTTCCTGGACCCCCAACTGGGATCTTCCAACCTGCTCACAATCCATGGGTCCCGAGGGGGACTTGCCACGTTCATTGTTCGTAGGTTGGGGAGAAAGCTGGTGACTTTGCCCTCCTGAGCTACCTTGGCCCATGGTGTGGCTGATGGTTTGGCTCTGTGGCCATCACCACAGAGGGGTGCCAAGCATGGCTCCTAAATCCTGTCCACAGTGAGGTGTGTGAGTCAGGGGTGTGGGTCTGCCTGTCTACCATGATCCCTTCTAACCCAGATCCCATGTCATTTCCCAATTCCTTGTTGCTCCTGGCTGCTATTGGTCACCTGCTTCCTATTTCCGGTGGTACTGGAATCCATGCCTGACTGATCCCATCGTGGCTGTGGATTCTGCTCCGGTGTAATGATCACGTGGTGTTCATGGCCCCTGTGGGCCACAGTCCCTCGTCCAGTCCCGGAAAGCAGGCATCACCTCAGCCTTGGCCTCCAGCACATTGAATAACGAGGAGCTGGTACGTGGGTGCCTCCACAGGGCCTGGGGGTGGGTGGGGTGGGCTGAGCTGGGGACTAAGGGAAGTAGTGCAGCCCTTCTTGGCCTGGGGCAAGAGGAAGGGAGCATGGGCAAAGGCATTGGCCACGCTGCGGGGAATCGGATCACGCAACTTCCCCTCGTTGGCTTTGGGGAATGCGGGTCTAGGGTGTCTTTATGCTGCTCCATGTGAGGCCGCCCCACCCATAGCTGCACACACTTCCCCCCCCCCCGCAGAAAAACCACGTTTACAAGAAGACCCTGCAAGCCTTAATCTACCCCATCTCGTGCACGACACCGCACAACTTCGAGGTGTGGACGGCCACTACGCCCACCTACTGCTACGAGTGTGAGGGGCTACTGTGGGGCATCGCGCGGCAGGGCATGCGCTGCACCGAGTGTGGCGTCAAGTGCCACGAGAAGTGCCAAGACCTGCTCAACGCCGACTGCTTGCAGCGTGAGGGCGGGGCAGGGGCGGGACTGTATGGGGCGGGGTCGTGCGGGGCGGGGACAGAGGATGGGGTGGGGGCTCCGCGCAGGGCAGGGCGGGGCACCACAAGGGACAGGGCCCCAGGAGCGGCTGGGTTCCACGTGGAGTGGGCCTCTGGAAGGCAGGGCTCGTGGGGCGGAGCTTGGGGCAGGGCTCTGCAGAGTGGGGCTGCAGACAAGGGAGGAGCTGTGTGGCGCAGGCCCGTGATGGGCGGGGCTATGAGGAATGGGGCGGGGACAGGAGCGGTTGGGGTGTGGGGGCGGAGGTCCACATGGGGCTAGGACCGAAGGGTGGGCAGGGCTCAGCAGGGAGCGGACAGAGGGGCTAGGCTGTGAGAGGCCGTGCGCTGCAGGGATGAGGCAAGGATAAAAATGCTGGGTTCTACAGGGTGCGAAGGGAACTCTAGTGGCATAGTGCCTAAGGCAGTTGACTGCTAACCAGAAGACTGGTGGTTCAAACCCACCAGCCACTCCTCGGAAGGAAGGTTGGGCAATCCTACTTCCGTAGTGATACTGCCTTGGAAACCCAAGGAGGGGTCGCTATGAGTCCAGTAAGATTCGGTGGCACATAACAACAACAGCAACACTGGGTGGGAACTGAGGAGGGACAGAAAGAAGGGCCTGAGATGTTTCTGGAGGGGAGGGCTTGAAGAAAGAGGGCTGGGGCTGGGGCTGGGGCTGTGGGCTGCGAGATGAAGAGAAGAGGTAGAGTCCTTGGGAGGCGAGCTAGGGGGCCTGGGGAGGAAAAAGGAGGAGATCTGAGAAGCGGAGCGGGGCTCAGGGACGAGTAAGACCTGCGAAGTGGTGATTCCCCTGGAGGAGGCTGGGTTAAGATTAGACCCTAGAAGGGACTGGGCTCAGAGTGGGAGGGGACTAAGGAAAGGAAAGGAAACTGTTACCCGCGAGAGAAAAAACAAACCAAACTCAATGCCGTGGAGTCGATCCCGACTTATAGTGACCCCTCCTTGGGTTTCCCAGGCGGTATCTCTACGGAAGTAGAGAAGCCCCAACCTTCTGCCAGCCTACTGGTGAGCAGTCGAATGCCTTAGGTACTACGCCACCAGAGGGGGCTGTGAAATGGGTTAGTTCTCCGAGGAGAGGTTTCCGAGAGATGGCAGCTCTAGTTTCTTGGGGACCGAAGAAACACTGGGCAAGGGTGGGCCCAGTGACCGGCCTGGTGCGGCCTCGCAGGGGCGGCGGAGAAGAGCTCGAAGCACGGAGCGGAGGACCGCACGCAGAACATCATTATGGTGCTCAAGGACCGCATGAAGATCCGGGAGCGCAACAAGCCCGAGATCTTCGAGCTCATCCAGGAGATCTTCGCCGTGACCAAGACGGCGCACACGCAGCAGATGAAGGCCGTCAAGCAGAGCGTGCTGGACGGCACGTCCAAGTGGTCGGCCAAGATCAGCATCACCGGTGAGACCAGGGGCGCCCACGGGCGGCCCAGCGTTCCCGCTCCTCCCCTGGGTTGCATGAGCTTGGGCGGGTCCTTGTGTATCCTTGTCCACGAATGGGCGTTCCTCCGCGTGAGGTGAACGTTTATGCCTTCCCGCGTGTCCTGTTGATGCTCCCATAACCAGACCCAAAGGAGAGGATATGAGAGCATGCTGTTTATCTGGGTGACAACCCCCAAAAGCCCCAGCTGGGCGTGGAGAATTGAGACAGGGAGGTAAGGAGTCCTGCAGGGGGCGCCAAGGAGCAGGTGATATTGTGGACAATTGGGGCTCCATGTGGCTAGAGAGCTCAGGAAACCAGCATAGGACACGCACTTCAGAGTGGTCCCGTCCAGGACCAAGGGGGCCGGGGTGTTTATCCACTCCCAGCTTCGTTTAGATTTCCTGGAAAAGAGACCCCAAGATGAGGATTTCAGGGCACACAAAGTATCCGCTAGGTGAACCCAGGAAGTCTCTGGGGAATGCAGATGTGCCGCAGGGACCGAAGGTGCCCTGTAGGAGGCGCCAAAGAGCATGTGACGAGGTTGGCAACTGGAGCCCAGTCCGGCTGGGGAGCTCACGGAGATGGGAGCAGACACTGAGTGGTCTCACGCCAGAGGCCAGGGCTTGGGGTGCCTTTCCATCTTTCTTTGGTGAGGGGCTCTCCTGCTATTCTAGAACAAAGCCCACAGGCAGGGCCATAGGTGTCTCCATCGAGCAGTGTGTGACTTAGACTGCCGGGACCATGGCAGCCTCGGCGTGCCTCACCCACGGGTGCACATTTGTGTATTTGTCTTTTGTGTGTCTTCCAGTGGTCTGTGCCCAGGGCTTGCAGGCAAAGGACAAGACGGGTTCCAGTGATCCCTATGTCACTGTCCAGGTTGGGAAGACCAAGAAACGGACGAAAACCATCTATGGGAACCTGAACCCTGTGTGGGAGGAGAACTTCCATTTGTAAGTGCCTGGCTGGTCCCCCAAACCCGTCACAGAGCACCCCGCTGGGACAGCGCAAGGGGCTCCAAGAAGCTCAAGGGAACACCCAGCCCAGCTGACCCTGGCTCGCCCCATCCCCACCCCACAGTGAATGTCACAACTCCTCGGACCGCATCAAAGTGCGAGTCTGGGATGAGGATGATGACATCAAATCCCGCGTGAAGCAGCGGTTCAAGAGGGAGTCCGATGACTTCCTGGGGCAGACGATCATCGAGGTGCGGACGCTCAGCGGCGAGATGGACGTGTGGTACAATCTGGGTGAGTGCGGGCGGGTCCTGCAGAGGCACAGGGCAGCCCGGGAGCCAGCCAGGCAGGAAAGACAGTGTCAGGAGGAGGAGGATTCAAGGAGCCCAGTCTGATGGGGGAGGCAGGGCCTATGAGCCCAATCTGATGGGCAGGAAGGACCCAGGATGAGAAGGGAACCTCTTAGTTCTACGGGGAGGAGGAGAGGGTCTAAGGACCAGTCTGATGGGAGAGGCAGGAAGCAAGCCTTGGGATCCTAGTTTGAGGAGGGAGACACAGACCTATCTATGTCTAAGAACTTTATCTAAGAAGAAGACTAGATTCTGGGGAACTCAATCTGATAGAAGAGGCAGACTGTGGGAGCTCAGTCTAAGAGAGAGGTGGGGCTGAGGTCTCCTAGTCTAAGGAGAGAGACATAGACCCAGGAACTTAATCTGAGTGAGGAAATAAGGTCTGAGGTCCCAGTGTGGGGAGAAGGTCTAAGGAATTCTAGTGCAAAGAATGGGTTACAAGCCTGGGGAACCAATTTGAGGCGAGACATCGGGCCTTAATTTCAGGGAGTCTGAATGGGAGACAGACATAGACACACATTAAAATACTAGTGTGAGTTGCTACTGAGCCAACCCTGACTCATGGGGACCCCATGTGTGTCAGAGCGGTAACGTGCTCCTTAGGGTTTTCAATGGCTGTGATCTTTGAGAAGCAGATGCCAGAAGCAGAATGTATGCACTCCTTAGAACACTCAAAGGTATGAAATCAAAATGGCAGCGTTTGCCCAGGAACAAAGCCCAGAAGGCAGGAACGGGTCGGAAAGAAGGACAAAGGAAAGCAGTAGACACAGGGAGGAAGTGGAAAGAGAGCTGTTACACTGGGCAGATTGCAGTACACAAAATGTGTATGAGTTGTTGATTGGGAAACCAATTTGCTCTGGAAACTTTCACCCAAATCACAATAAAAAGCTGTTTAAAAAAAAAAAAAAAAACAGCAAATCGCCAAGCCTTTCTTCTGAAATGCCTCTGGGTGGACTCGAACCTCTAACCTTTTGGCTAGCAGACACTGCTCACACCACCCAGGGAGACATTAACATAACCCAGGGCACATTGGGAAGTTCTTCCTTTCATGCTGCCATCGTCTCTGCACTGCAGACAAACGGACGGACAAGTCGGCTGTATCGGGCGCCATCCGGCTTCACATAAGTGTGGAGATCAAAGGCGAGGAGAAGGTGGCCCCCTACCATGTCCAGTACACCTGTCTGCACGAGGTGAGGCCTACTGCTCAGTCCAGCCTCTGAGGCTCACCATGGTCTCCCACACTGCCTCCCATCCACCATTCTTACCTGCACCAACTCCACCGTTCTCTCTCTGGTCACAGCATCCACACCTTCCTAGGCTCCAGTGACTGTTCCTCATACCATTACATCGTCTGGAAAACTTCTCCCTGTACATCAAGGTCCAGTTTAAAGGCCTCCTCCTCTGGGAAACCATCCTAGACTTTATAGGCACATTCTTGTTCCCCAGTTCCAGATCCCCCTATCTGTTCCTGTTTGTATCAGCATCTGTCTCTTCCAGCTGTCTAGGGGTTCCTGGAGAGAACTCTATCCCCAGAACTCAGTTTGTTGAGCTAATGAATGGTTTAATGAATAAATGAATGATGAGTAGATGCATGGATAACTCTGTGGGTGGACAGATAGATGAGTTGATGGGTGGATGCATGGGGGTGGATGATGAACAGATGTACAGATGTAAGGTGGGTGGATGGATGAAAGCATGTTATGGACAGATGGATGAACAGATAGATGTGGGCTAACTATGAGAAGGACAGTTGAGTGGATGGGTGAATCTTGGGGTAGATGAATGGATGTATGAACGAGTAGACAGATGGACAGATAATGCATGGATGGGTAAACTAATGTGTGGATAGAGTGGGTGGATGGATGGCTGAATGGGTGGAAGGAAGAACTGTTGGGTGGGCAGATTAAGTTGTTGGTGGATGGATAGTGTGGATGCATGTGTGGTTGAATTATTAGAAGGATGAAAGAGCAGATGGGTGAATTTTTGGGTAGTTGGATGGATGGGTGGGTGGGTGGATGATGGATGGACAGGCAGACAGATGAATGGGTGGGTACGTGGATGAATGGACAGATGGATATGTGGTTGAATTGTTGGAAAGATAGATGTGGTGAACTGTGAGGTAGTTGAATGGATGGATGAGTGAGTGAGTGGATGCAAGCATACATGAATTAGTGAATAAAGAAATGAATGAGTAAATGGATGGATGATGTGAGCTTCATCAGACCCAGAGAACTCTGCTCCCCTCTCATCCCCTGTCACTCCCCATGACAATACCTCATCATCCCCTACCCCCATGGCAGAACCTGTTTCACTTTGTGACGGATGTGCAGAACAACGGGGTAGTGAAGATCCCAGATGCCAAGGGTGACGATGCCTGGAAGGTTTACTATGATGAGACAGCCCAGGAGATTGTGGATGAGTTCGCCATGCGTTACGGTGTCGAGTCCATCTACCAAGCCATGACGTGAGGCTGCAGGCTGGGCTGGGCATGAGAGGGACGTGCAGAAAACTGGAGTGGGAAAAGTCACTAAGTGGACCTTGGCCAGATCTGGAGTGGGAGGGCTTCTTGGGAGGAGGAGCCAGAGAGAATATATGTGTGTGTGGGGGAATGTATGTGTGTGTGGGGGGGGTGTAATTCCCTTGTTGATTAGAGTGTGCTGGGGAATGGAGTGACAGGGAAGAGAGAGGGGAGTTAGTGGCAAGACAGGGCAACCAAGGTGGATAGAAAGAAAGAGACAGAGAGAAACTGAGGGCAGAATTGGGCAAGGGAAAGGGGAATGGTTGGGGTGCCAGGGGGATCTCTCACATGCTGTCTTGAGGATACTTGGGGGAATGTACCCCATCCTGGCTAGACGTTGGGCCCACTTCCTCCTGCTCCCTTCCGCCAGCCACTTTGCCTGCCTCTCCTCCAAGTACATGTGCCCCGGGGTGCCTGCAGTCATGAGCACTTTACTCGCCAACATCAACGCCTACTATGCCCACACCACCGCCTCCACCAACGTGTCTGCCTCTGACCGCTTCGCCGCCTCCAACTTTGGGGTCAGTTTCAGGGGCCAGGACTCGGGGAGTAGGGAGAGTCCAACCCCATGCTGGAAAGACCTTCTGTGATACCCAGGCCCGCAATCTGGACCTGAGTTGCTGTGTGACTTTACACCAGTCACTTTCTCTCTCTGAGCCTCAGTTTACCCCTCTGTAGAATGGAAACTAATGTGATGAGGGCTCAGTTCTATGGTGGAAGTGGTGCATTTAGTGTATAGAGTGCTTGGCCAGTCAGGTGGCCACCATTAGCTGCTGCATTCAGCCTCTGAATCTTCTCCTCCATCCGTCTTCCCACCTCTCCTGCCTCCTCAGAAAGAGCGCTTTGTGAAACTCCTGGACCAGCTACATAACTCGCTGCGGATCGACCTCTCCATGTACCGGGTAAGAGCCCCACGCATGATGACAGGCTTGCCCCCACATGTGTGTGCCGGGAAGGGACAGCTGCCAGCAGGTGCATGCTTGGCAGGACCCACATTTACATGTGGAGTGCCTTCCTCAGATACACGAACACGTATGTGGACGGTACCTGTCCCAAAGTGCTTGGTGCATCCAAGCTGACCCTCCACTGTTTCAAGGTGCTCTCCTTGACCCCCAACCCGCCTCCTGAAATGGGGGAACTCTTGTTTTATTGTTGTTAGTTACCATTGACTCAACTCCAACTCGTGGCAACCTTGTGCGTAACAGAATGAAGCATGGCCTGGTCCTGCCCCATCTTCATGGTTGTCCATATGTTGGAGTCCATTGTTGTGGCCTCTGTTTTTGGAGTGCCTCCCAACCTTGCTCTTAGGTGCTGTGCTGTCAGTTTCGACTCATGGCAACCCTGTGTACAAGAGAACGAAACCCTGCCTGGTCCTGCACCTTCCTCACAACTGCTGCCGTGCTTGAACGCATTGTTGCGGCTGCTGGGTCCATCCATCTCATTGAGGGTCTTCCCTTTTTTCACTGACCGTCTCACTTACCAAGCATGATGTCTTTCTCCAGAAACTAATCCCATCTGACAACATGACGAAAGTAGATGAGATAAAGTCTGGCCATTCTTGCTTCTAAGGAGCATTCTGGCTGTACTTCTTCCAAGACAAATTTGTTTGTCCTTCTGGCAGTCCATGGTATATTCAGTATTCTTTGACAGCATAATAATTCAAAGGCATCAATTCTTCTGCAGTCTTCCTTATTCATTGTCCAGCTTGCAGAAGCACGTGAGGCTGTTGAAAAGTGTCTTAGGTCATGCACACCTTAGTCTTCAAAGTGACATCTTTGCTCTCTAACACTTTAAAGAGGTTTTTAAAGCAGAGCTGCCCAGGGCAATGCAACATTTGATTTTTTTTTTTCTTTTTTGGCAGCAAAATAATTTTATTTCCTAACACATGATGCACATATACATTCAGTATGTGCTTATCTTAAAAATATGGAATGCTTCACGAATTTGCATGTCATCCTTGTACAGGGGCCATGCTAATTTCCGTGTTGTTCCAACATTAGTATATGCACTGCCAAAGTAAGCACACATTTGATTCCTTGGCTGACTTTTCTGTGGGCGTCGATTATGTATCCAATAGTAAAATGAAATCCTTGACAACTTGTAGCTTTTCTCCCTTTATCATACTGCTGCTTATTGGTCCAATTGTGAGGATTTTTTATTTCTTTATATGGAGGTGTAATGTGTACTGAAGACTATAGTCTTCAATGTTTATCAGTAAGTGCTTCAAGTACTCTTCACTTTCAGCAAGCAAGTTTGTATCATCTGCATATGGCAGGTTGTTAGAGTCTTCCTCCCATCCTTATGCCATGTTCTTCATAGAGTCCAGCTTCTCAGATTATTTGCTCAGCATACAGACTGAATAAGTATGGTGAAAGGCTACAACCCTGATGTACACCTTTCCTGATTGTAAACCATGCAGTATCCCCTTGTTCTGTTTGAATGACTGTCTCTTGGTCTATATACAGGTTCCTCATGAGTGCTATTAAGTGTTCTGGAATTCCCATTCTTCTCAAACTTATCCATAATTTGTTATGATCTACACAGTTGAATGCCTTTGCGTAGTCAGTAAAGCACAGGTAAACATCTTTCTTGTATTCTCTGCTTTCAGCCAAGATCCATCTGACATTAGTAAGATATTCCTCATTCTATGTCCTCTTCTGAGTCTGGCTTGAATTTTTGGAAGTTTCCCTATCAATGTATTGCTGCAACCATTTTGGAACTATTTTCAGCCACATTTTATTTGTGGGTTATTTTAATGATATCGTTCAATAGTTTCCACATTCTGTTGGATCACCTTTCTTTGGAATGGGCACAAATATGGATCTTCCCAGTTGGTTAGCCAGGTAGCTGTCTTCCAAATTTTAGGGCATAAATGAGTGAGTGCCTCTAGCACTGCACGCATTTGTTGAAACACCTCCATGAATATTCTGTTAATTCCTGGAGCCTTGTTTTTCACCAGTGCTTTCAGGCAGCTTGGTCTTCTTTCTTCAATACCATCAGTTCTTGATCATATGCTACCTCCTGAAATGGTTGAATGTGGACTCATTCTTTTTGATGAGTGACTTTGTGTATTCCTTCCATCATCATAATCATCTTCTTTTATTTTCCTTCTTTTATAGCTATTTTTCTTTTCTTTTTTTCCTTCCATCATCTTTTGATACTTCTTGTATCATTCAATATTTTCCCACAGGATCCTTGAATATTGCAACTTGATGCTTGAATTTGTCTTCAGTTCTTTCAGCTGCTGAAATGCTGGGCATTTTCTATTCTTATTCAAATCTGCACACCAACCACTAAAGCCAAAAAAATGAAGACATAGAAGATTTTTACCAATGTCTGCAGTCTGAAATTGACCAAACATACAATCAAGATGCATTGATAATTACTGGTGACAGGAATGGAAAAGTTGGAAACAAAGAAGGAGCATCAGTAGTTGGAAAATATGGCCTTGGTGATAAAAATGATGCCAGAGATTGCATGATAGAGTTTTGCAATACCAACGACTTACTCATTGCAAATACCTTTTATTCAATAACATAAACAGCGACTGTACACGTGGACTGTGACAGATGGAATATACAACAATCAAATCAACTACATCTGTGGAAAGAGACAATGGAGAAGCTCAATATCATCTGTCAGAACAAGGACAGAGGCCAACTGTGGGTCAGACCAGCAATTGCTCTTATGCAAGTTGAAGTTGAAGCTGAAGAAAATTAAAACAAGTCTATGAGAGCCAAAATGCAACCTTAAGTATATCCCACCTGAATTTAGAGACCATCTGAAGAGTAGATTTGATGCACTGAACACCAATGACAAAAGACTAGACAAGTTATGGGATGACATCAAGGATATCATACATGAAGAAAGAAAAAGGTCACTAAAAAGAAGGAAAAAAGAGAAAAGACCAAAATAGATGTCAGAAGACACCTTGAAACTTGCTCTTGAGTGGAGAACAACTAAAATGAAGAGAGGAAATAATAAAGTGAAAGAACTAAAGATTTCAAAGGCCAGCACTACTTTGGACAGTATTCTATTATGATCCATAAGGTTTTTATTGGCTAATTTTCAGAAGTAACTCACCAGGCCTTTCTTCGTAATCTGTCTTAGTCTGAAGCCCCGCTGAAACCTGTCCACTATGGACTCTGCTGCTGTTTGACATAACAGTGGCATAGTTTCCATCATCACAGCACCACACCAGCAATCACAGGATGACAAACTGACAGATTATCCCCCTCCTCCCTTAGCCTTCTGTAACTCCTCATCTCCTCTCATTCCCAACAGAATAATTTCCCAGCCAGCAGCCCGGAGAGACTCCAGGACCTCAAATCCACTGTGGATCTTCTCACCAGCATCACCTTCTTTCGGATGAAGGTAGGAAAGGGCACCCAAACCCATTAGCTCTCCAACAAGCCTTCTGGATTTTCCAAACTCCCAGCTCCCAGACCAAGTAACATTTCTCTTGAAGAGTGGTGCATTTTCCAAGTGACCTTCTGCTTTCATACTACTGAACCTCCTATAGCCACTTCCTGGGCACTTCCTGTCACAGCTGTGTCCACCTATGCCTGTCTTCCTGCCTCCAGGTGCAAGAACTCCAGAGCCCGCCCCGCGCTAGCCAGGTGGTGAAGGATTGTGTAAAAGCCTGCCTCAACTCTACTTATGAGTACATCTTCAACAACTGTCATGAACTCTACAGCCGGGAGTATCAGACAGACCCGGTGAGGACCTTGTCTGGTACAGAAGGGAATAGTGGGTGCCAACCAGACCATGGCCCAAGTCCTTCCCAAGTGATTTAACTGCTCTGGACATCCATTTCTTCTCTAAAATGAGGGTCATAAACCCACATCTCAGAGTTAAGGAGAAGATTTAATGATATATAAGCATTCTGGTAGTGTAGTACCTAAGGCACTTGACTGCTAACCAGAAGGCCGGCGGTTCAAACCCACCAGCCACTCCTTGAAAGGAAGGTTGGGCAATCTACTTCTGTAGTGATACCGCCTCGGAAGCCCAAGGAGGGGTCTCTATGAGTCAGGCCCGACTCAACAGCAATGAAAACAAGCATTAGATAAAATATAGTTAAGTGCTTAGCACTTGGCACAAAGTATCTGTCAGTGAACTCTGAGTTAAGCTCAGTTGAGTTTGGTATAATATAATGTACCTCACACAGTTTCTGCTCAGTGAATGTTGAGTTGAGTTGAATTTATTGAATGTAATTTAACTCAGTTTATTTGAGATCTTTCAGCAGACATTTGTCTACACATACAATGTCCCCAGGTTATAAATAAGGCTTCAAGGAGCTTATAATTTAGTAGAAGGGAAGGGTGCACAAATTGGATATTTACAACCCAGGGTGATTAGTACAGAGATGGGGGGTGCACAGGAGACTGTGGGAGCCAGAGACGGTCCCTACTCTTGCTTGGGCTTTCGATAGGTGATAACGCGAAAAATGCGTTCACATCAATTTTATTTCATTCTATTCATTTACGTTCAGTTGATTTGAATTGACAGTCATTTTTTGTTTAACTGGGTTGAACTGAACTAGATTAAATTGAGTTTAGTTTCACTTAAGTTAAAATTACTAGTTAGGGAGAAGAACTGAATTGTATTTACAAATTCAATCACTTTCATTCATTTGCCTTGAGTTGAAGTTTCTCTTCACTGAGTTGACTTAAGTTAGGATGAACTGAATTTGATGAGTTAGGTACAGTTAAGTTCAGTTGAGTTTGGTTGAACTGTACTTACTTCAGTTGAGTTTACCAAAAAACAAACTCCAGACTCACTACCATTGAGTCAATTCTGACTCATAGCAACCCCCCTTGGGTTTCCAAGGTGGTAAATCTTTACGGTAGTAGATTTCCCAGTCTTCCTTCCATGGAGTGGCTGGTGGGCTTGAACTGCCAACCTTCTGGCTAGCAGTCAGATGCCTTAGGCACTATGCCACCAAACCTCCTTTCAGTTGAGTTCAGGTACACATATTTCCAGTAGTTAACTCAAGTTAGATTGAGGTGGAAATAAAGAGAATTGGGTTGGGATGAGATAGATTGGGTTGGATTGAATTTGGTTGGGTTCAGTTAGATGGAGTTAGGTTGAGTTGAGTTGTATTGGGTTCAGTTGAGGTCAGTTTATTTCCACTATTTGATTTAGGCTGATGTTGATCTTAGAAGAATTGATTGTGTTCAATCCAATTGAGTTAACTTGATTTGAATTCAATCCAGTAAAGTTTACTTTTACTCCATCCAGTAGAATTGGTCCCAAGTCCAGTTCCATTGATTTGACTCTGAAGAAAGTTAACTTCTGTTAAGCTAAGTGGGCTTGATTTGAATTCACTTCAGTTACATTTGGTTTAGTGGGATTGAGTCTATTTAACTAAGTTAAATTCCATTCATTTCCATTCGGTTTTAAGAGCTAAGTCTACTTAACTTGAGCTGCATTAGTATGGGCTCTGTTTAAGCCAGTTTGCATGAGTTCAGTTCTTTTCCATGCAGACCTCTCACCTGAAACACACACATGTTGATGAGGTCCCTTCCTCATCAACCTCCTGCACCTCATTAATGAACTAATTGATGCACCCTCCCCTGGCCCCTTGTGACCAATGTTTCTACTTTGTCTTTCAGGCCAAGAAGGGGGAGGTTCCTCCAGAGGAACAGGGCCCCAGCATCAAGAACCTTGACTTTTGGTCCAAGCTGATCACCCTCATAGTGTCCATCATTGAAGAAGACAAGAATTCCTATACTCCTTGCCTCAACCAGTGAGTAGTGTGTCTGTGCATTTAATTATCTGAGGATCATCAGGTGAATGTCCATACAACATTGTGTCTTGTGTAAAAGTAACCATGTCTAATTGTATTATATATCATATGTGTGAGTATGTGAGTATATGTAATTTTGTGTATAGTTGTAGTCTAGGGATTTAGGTGTGTATTTGTGTATAATTGTGGAATGCACTTCAATATGTGATATTGTGTAATTGTATGTGAGTATATATACAATTTTGATTTGTGAGTTTATGTGAGTCTATGGTCTGTAGAAATATGCATCTATATGTAGTTGAATGAGCTATTGTGTTTTCTTGTATTTCCCCAACGTGAGCACTAGTTGTTGTGTTGTTATGTGCTGTGGAATTGGATCTGACTTTAACAGTCCCTCCTTGGGTTTCTGAGGCAGTATCGCTACGGAAGTAGATTGCCCAACCTTCCTTCCAAGGAGTGGCTGGTGGGTTTGAACCACCAGCCTTCTGGTTAGCAGTCAAGTGCCTTAGGCACTATACTACCAGAGCACTAGAGGGACCCCTAACTCTGGGTTGCTAATATTTTCCAGTTACTTAAATGTAAAGTAAGTCAAGCCAGGGATTTTAAACGAATAGGCTGAAGGATGGATAAATGGATGGATGGATGGATGGACAAGTAGGTAGGTGGATGGATGGATGTATGAATAGGTGGCTAGATCAATGGATGGATAGATGGATGAGTAGAGGGATAGGTGGGTAGGTGGTAGATAGATGAATGGGTAATAAATGGATAACTAGACAGAGGGATGGATGGATGGATAAACGGATGGATCGATAGGTAAATGATAGATGGGTGGATGAATGGGTAAGTAAGTAATGAATGAGTGGGTTAAAGGATGGTGGGCTGGATGAGTGGAGTCTCCCATAGCACTCTCTACTTCTCTGCTGGGTTTAATAATTTGTTGAAATGAGGGTCAAGATTGTAGTCACTGCTTGGTCACAGCCAGCTACCCAGAGAGACCAAGCAGTTGAACCTGTGGGCTCGGGACCATAGTCGCAGAGGACGTCAAGCTCAATTGGTATAACATACTACACAAATCATTGTTCCACCTCCTACTGTGGCAAACAGCTACTGGAATCTTTAAAAGCTTGCAAGCTGCCATCTAGATGCAACAATGGGTCTCTCCTCATCCAGAGCAAAGAATGAAGAAAACCAAAAATTCATGGAAACAATTAGTCTTAACGACTGGTACACCATCTGATCTGCAGCCTATATGACTATGAGACCAGAAGAACTAGAGGTACCCGGCTACTACTGTCAACCACCTGGAAGAGGATCTATGTAGGAGATCCTGGATAGTGAGGGAGAACAATGTGGAACAAAACTCAAAATCATTTGGAAAAAAAAAAAGGGGGGGACCAGGTTTGCTGGTCTGATAGAGCCTGGTGGAACCACTGAGACTATGGCCCCTAGCTGCCTTTCAGGTCTGGAATTGAACCCATGCCTGTGGCTTCTAGCCAAACAATAGACAGGCATGTGAGTTGAACATTTACCTGAGGTGGATACTCTCCTTGGAGAGAACACTCATGGAGAAAGAAGGGCTGCTTATGCACAGGGAGACAGCTCAGGGGGCAGGAGTCCATAAAGGGATAGACACAGGGAAGAGGTAACTATCGGGAGGAAGTGGGAGGGGAGATCTTGCATTGCGGTAAATTGTGGTAAATGTCATAAGACAAAGTATATGTGAACTACTGTATGGAAAGTGTATTTGCTCTGTAAATTTTCACCCAAATCACAATAAAAAAAAAATTTAAAATAAATAAATAAAAATAATTTGTTGAAATGGCCACACAGAACTCATAGACCATACTCACAATTATGAGGTTTATTAGGGAAGTAACAGGTTACAATTCAGGATCAGGAATCAACTTGGAAGTAACAGATATGACTCAGGATACAGTTCTTTGATCAGGATAGCTTCCTCTTAGCTGTGCCTGTAGGCAGGCCTCTCTCTCAGCTCTTGGCTCTCACTCTCGGACCTTGGCCCTCAGCCCTCGACCCTCATCTCTGCCCTACAAAGCTCTTTAGCTCTTCTAATAAGTGCCCAGAGGCACCCCACTCCTCCAGGAAGCCTCCTGCCCGGAGGTGATCAGTGCTCCTGCTCTGTGAGTCAACGAGCCTCGCCTGTTCCTGTGCTTCTCACATCTTGTGCTGTCTTCAGTGTTACATTTCTCTGTCTCTTGGGTCTAAGGAGTTATCAGTACAGGGACCCTTGGTCCAAAGGACATGCTCCACTGCTGGCTTTTCTTCCTGTTGTTAGTGATGTCCCCACATCCAACCTCTGGGATCAGCTCCCTTGAAGTTTAGTGGGAAGGCAAAACTGACCAACCCCGTACAAGGGTTCCATGCACATTATTTGCATTAGCAAAAACTGTCCAATATGCTTGGTGGGCCACAAGAGCATTATTTGCATAGTTCCATTTAATCATTTTGTGGGAGTTACAAGATCATCACTAGAAGAGCCATACAGAAACAATTCACTGCAATGCACTTGGACAGGTAGGTGAATGGATGGGTGTACAGATGGAGGAGTGATGAGCGGTAATGTATAGATGGTTAGAGAGATGGATAGGTGGGTGGTTGGAGGCTCTGGGAGAAACAGGGTCTTCATATAGAATCCCTCAGCAAGTCAGTGGCTATAAGAAAACTTGAATATGGATTCCCCCTCCCCTGCCCTGTCCTACACTGCCCTCTGGGGCAGGTAAGAGCAAAGCAGTCTATGCCATCTGGCTTCCATCTGCCCAGGTTTCATACTCCTGTGACCTTTGCCAGGTTTCCCCAGGAGCTGAACGTCGGTAAAATCAGTGCTGAAGTGATGTGGAATCTGTTTGCTCAGGACATGAAGTACGCCATGGAAGGTGAGCCCCCCACCCTCAAGTCTTCTAGCCTGGTTATGACATTTATTTGTACCCCAATGTCCCCTCCAAGGCTTGGAGTATTCTGGACCCTCATGCCTGAGGTTGGCCCTCAGTGATGGTCAGAGTGGACAGGCTGAGGGTGGCAGACCCCCCTGGCTGAGCGGCCCCCTTCTTGCACCCCCTCACCCTCACTAGAGCATGACAAGCATCGCCTCTGCAAGAGCGCTGACTACATGAACCTCCACTTCAAAGTCAAGTGGCTGTACAATGAGTATGTGGCGGAACTTCCTGCCTTCAAAGACCGCGTGCCTGAGTACCCCACGTAAGTCCGCTGCTCCAAGCCCAAGCCAGGACTAAAGAACCAAAAACTAGGATGAGATCCAGAGAGGAGGGCTGATTACTTGGGGTCATCTGGGAGCCAGGGAAACAGGTGGGGCTCAAGCCCAGTTTTCTTGACTCCCAGCCATTGGATTGTGGATTCCTATAGCCCTGAAAATTAATCGTCATAACAAGAACAGTAACTATGCTGAATAGTCCCATATGCTTTTCCTCATTTAATCCATTAGATAATTCTGTAAGATGGGATCATTATAATTCCCAGTGTGTGGGTGAGAAAACCATCACTTTCTTATGCATCATTCATCACTTACCCTTCCATACATTCATTCATTCTCCCACCTGTCCAGCTATCCACCCATCTATCCATCCATCCAAGATGAATGACCAGCTGGTCCAACATGAGGTCCAGTAAGTGACAGAGCCAGGATTTGAACTTGGGATATTAGATTCCATGCTGTGTTGGAGAATAGGAGAATGGCTGCCATTTACCGAAGACCTACTATGTGATTTTATTCACTGCTTACAGCTGTGTTGTGGCATAGATGCTCTTCTAATGTATAGGAAAGGGGACCTCAGAGAGCAAGCCTGCTTACCCAAGGTTGGGATTGGGTTTATCTGAACCAGGATTCCCGAAAGGCTGGGCCTTGCTCTGACAGTAGCTGCTCTATCTTTTTAATGGATGAAAAAAAAAAAAAACGAGTCCTGGTTGGGGAGGGGAACAGGGGAGAAGCCATGGAAGGTCACAGGATGCATTAGAGGGAAAGCAAGACAGGAATGGAGGCTGCCACCAGCACATCCAGTGCTGGACTGGAACCAGGCGGAGCAGAGGGTGAGTGGGGCAAGAGGTGACCAAGCCTCACCCTAGTTGTTGCATTCCAGGTGGTTTGAGCCCTTTGTCATCCAGTGGCTTGATGAGAATGAGGAGGTGTCCCGGGATTTCCTGCATGGGGCCCTGGAGCGAGACAAGAAGGATGGGGTAAGGGATAGACCCATGACCAAGCTCCCAGTCCACCCACAGTGGCCTTATTCCCTCTGGGGTTCGATGAGCAAAATTGCCTTGGGATGGGGCCAGTCTCTGAAAGGGGTCTGCCATTCTTTCTCTCATTCAAAATTTTCAAAGTCTTTTGTTGATTCAAAAAACATGGAATTGGAGTTCATTAAGCTTGACCCTGGTCCCCTTCTCCAACCATATGGTCCCTGTGTCCACTTATAGAGGTTGGCTCTAAGTTGACTCTGCCTTACACATCACATCCCAGAGCAGGGGGCATTCAACAGCCTGGTCATGTACACATTCAGTCCAGCAGATGCTGCAGCCATTGACCCTGGTCTCTGGATGTTCCCAAGAAGAGTGGGAAGGAAGGGCCCTGGGGCACATTGGCTCTGACCCCTCTGCTCCCTGCTGGCCTCTATCCCACTGCAGTTCCAGCAAACCTCGGAGCATGCCCTGTTCTCCTGCTCTGTGGTGGATGTCTTCTCCCAACTCAACCAGAGCTTTGAGATCATCAAGAAACTCGAGTGCCCTGACCCCCAGATTGTGGGACACTACATGAGGCGCTTTGCCAAGGTGCAGAATGGGGTCAGGAGTGGGATTGTGTTTGAGGTTGGGGTCAGGGTTGGGACTTGAGTTGGGGTCTGGGTTGGGGCTTGCATTGGGGTCAGGATTGAGGCTGGAGTTAGGGTCAGGGTTAGGGTTGAGGCTGGAATTGAGGTTGAGGTTAGGTTGGAGTTGATGATGTTATACAAATTGGAGTTGGGGTTGGGGATTGGTTTGAGGTTGGAGTTAAGGTTAAGTTTAAGGTTAGGATTGATGATGTCATTAAGGTTTGAGTTGAGATTGGAGTTGAGATTGCAGTTGGTGATGTCACTGAAGTTGGAGTTGAGGTTGGAATTGAGCTTGGGGTTGGAATCAGGGTTGGGGCTGGAGTTGAGGTCAGGGTTGAGGTTGGAGTTGGGGTTGAAGTTGGGGTTGCCAGTGTCATTGGGGTTGGGGTTGGGGTTGAGGTTGGAGTTGAGGTTGAAGTTAGGTTGAGTTTGGTGATGGATTGAGATTGGGGTTGAGATTGTGGTTGGTGATAATCACTGAGGTTGGATTTGAGGTCAGAGTTGTGATTAAATTAGTTTCATTTGAGGCTGGGGTTTAGAGTTACTATTAGGGTGGATATTTGGTTTGGCATTGAGGTTGGAATGAGTGTTAGGATTTATGTAGAGTTTGGATGGACATTGGGGTGCGTGTGGAGACTGTGGTCACTGGACTGGGTTGGAGTTGATTAGATTGGCTATAGACTAGATTGAAGTTGGAGATTGCAGCTAAGAATTGAGAGATTATCAGGTCAGATTTGTGGTTGGGGCTGAGTTAATATGATGGTTGGTTATTCTGAAAAATATTTGGTGGGACCACATAAAATGTTGTCTTCATCTCATGGTGTCTCCTCATATGGATCAGCCTGGGTCTCAGTGGTCATCCTGGGTGGACAATTTGTCCAGGCCAATAGGCTATCTTTGGTATTAACAAGCGTTCAGGTTCATCCCACTAGCAGCAATTGGGGGATGTGGTGACCTGGGGCCACCCTGACCCAGTCTTTCCTCTCTCTCATCCACTGCCCCACCAACTCTGTGTCCTTCCCAGACCATCAGCAACGTGCTTCTCCAGTATGCAGACATCATCTCCAAGGACTTTGCCTCCTACTGCTCCAAGGAGAAGGAGAAAGTGGTGACCTGGGGGGGGCCCTGTCCCTTCCCTCTGTCTGCCTCACCCAGCACCCCTAGGGCTCAATCCTTCCCGAGACACTGACCCTTGGTTTCTGTGTGTGTCTGATTGTATTAATGATATAGTGTGAATGTGTGTGTGTGTGTGTGTGTGGTCTGAGTGTGTCCAGTTGCGTGTGTCTGGGTGTGTAGAATCTCAGTGCATGTGTCTGTGTACTGTCTGACTGTATTGACTGATTGGGTATAGTGTGTGTGTGAGCGTGTGTGTATGTGTGACTATGTGTCATGCCTGAGGTATTCTGACTGTGTGCATGCATCTGGATATGAGACAATATCCCTTCAATTTGTTGACCTTAACCTCAACTCCAACCTCAATGGCATCACTACTAACACCACCCCAACCCAACTTCAATCCCAGCCTCAACTCTAGCCCTGATTCCAATACTGATCACATTGCCAACTCTGACCTCAGTCCCAACCATGACCCTGACTCCAACCCCCACTTCAACTCCAACCCCAACCTTGACCCCAACCTCAACTCCAACCTCAATGACATCACCAATGCCAAGCTTAAATCCAAACTTAATCCCAACCTCAACTTCAATCCCAGCCTTCATCCCAACCTCAGCCCTAACCCTGATTCCATCCCCTGCTCTGATCATTTTTGTGCATGAAAATTTCAGAGTGGATGATGTGCACAGCTTTGAGTCTGAGTAGGAGAATGTGTGTATGTGACAACTAATACCCTTCCTAGCACTCCCAGAGAACCAGCCTCCCTCCTAGACCTACCAGGTCCAGCTCAGACCCTTGTGGAAATTACTTTAGTCCTTCTCCCTGTCTGCCCCTCAGCCCCTAGAAATTCTCCAGCAGCCCCCAGGAACCTGGGCCCAGATGCTGTCTTCTCCATTCTCAGACCCCACTTTGAGACCCCAGCTTCCTCCAGATCCAGACCCCAAATCCATCACTGAGAGCCTTGGCAGTGGGTGGGGGAGGCTTTGGGGAGGGGTCCCGAGCTCTGACTCTCTCTCTCTTCCCATCCCCAGCCCTGCATCCTCATGAACAACACTCAACAGCTACGAGTTCAGCTGGAAAAGATGTTTGAAGCCATGGGTGGGAAGGAGGTGAGGTGGAGTCCAGGAGGGGTTGGAGATGGGGCAGGATCACTGCCACCCCTGTGTCTCCCTCAAACCCAAGCAAGCTGCTTGACTGTCTGTGCCTCAGTTTCTTCTCCAGCCCCTCAATACCCTCTTCCGTGGGTTAAATGAGGAAATGCCAGGAATATGCATAATCCAGAACCAGACCTAACATGCCTCCTTCTCCTCAGCTGGATGCCGAGGCCAGTGACATTTTGAAGGAGCTTCAGGTGAAACTCAACAATGTCTTGGATGAGCTCAGCCGGGTGTTTGCTACCAGGTGGGGGCATCTCCAGGGCTAGGGGCAGGGTAGGGGGTGGGCAGCCCCCAGTCCTCTGAGCCTGGGGCATCCAGAGGCTTAGTAGATGTAGTGGTGGAGACCTCAGATTCAGAATTAGGTGGAGCTGAGTTCAAATCCTGGCTCCATCGATAATTAGCTACGTGGCCAAGGGCAGATCACTTAACCTCTCTCAACCTTAGATTATGCATCTGTAAAGTGAAGATAATGATAATAGTACCTTTGTAGGATTGTGAGAATGAAATGAACAGTACAGGTGAATGGCTTAGCAGAGTGAAAATGATGGCTGACACGGCTGTTGTTGTGCCCCTACTTCCTTATTCTAATATTGACCATGGCTCCCTAAGTGCTGATGATACAAGGTCAAGGTCCAGAGATCAAGTTCTGAGGACTTCATCTAGTCCTTCGTCTGGGAAGCCAGCAGAGTCCCTCTGACCTGCTCCCCTCTGTGTCCTTAGCTTCCAGCCGCACATTGAGGAGTGTGTCAAGCAAATGGGTGACATCCTCAGCCAGGTGAAGGGCACAGGCAATGTGCCAGCCAGTGCCTGCAGCAGCGTGGCCCAGGATGCCGACAATGTGCTGCAACCCATCATGGACCTGCTGGACAGCAAGTGAGCCAGGCTGGTGGATGGGCTTGGAGAGGGAGGGACTAGGGGGCTAGGGACATGGAGACCTGGGGGCTGATCTGGAGAGTCCTCTGTTTTGCTAGATGGTGGTTGGATGGTTTGATGGGTGGTTGGGGGCATTAAAAGATAAAGAGATAAAGGAAAGATGGGCAGATGATTGGAAGCATAAATGGGTACATATTTGTATGAATGAACGGGTGGTGGCTGGATAGACGGATGACATGAGATGAATGGATAGATTAAAAAAATAAATGCTTGGAAGGATAGATGGTTAAAAAGAATGAGTGGATGGATGAATGGATGGGAAGAAGGATAAATTAATGTATATATGGATGCAAGGTTGGTTGATTTATGGGAGGATGGACAGATGAGAGATGGATGAATGGGAGGATGAATGGATGGGAGAGAAAGATAAATTCATTCAAGGATGGATACAAAGATGGTGGATGGATGAATGGATGGATGGATGGGAGGATGGATGGAATGATGGAAAGAAGAGAGAAAGGGAGATGGATATATTGGGAAAGGACTCTACAAGCTAGGGCTAGTCAGACTCTCTCTCAGATCTGCCCTTCACCCTCAGCCTGACTCTCTTTGCCAAAATCTGTGAGAAGACGGTACTGAAGCGGGTGCTGAAGGAGTTATGGAAGCTGGTCATGAACACCATGGAAAAGACCATTGTCCTGCCACCCCTCACTGACCAAACGGTGAGGTCCAGCACAGGGCCAGAGGGGATACCTGGGCCCCCTCCCCTGTGACAGTCCAGAGTTTGGTGCCTAGAGACTGCAGGAACCAGACCAAAGGCCTCAGGGCTCAGAGATGTCAGCCAGGCACAAGGATCATCCAAGGTTCTTAGATTCCAACAGAGGTCAATGGGGCTATTCAAAGATCAGAGAAGTCACACATGGGTCAAGTGTCATCAACAGCTCAAGGAGGTCATTCAGAAGTCAGGGTTATTCAAAGGTGAGAGAAGTCAACTACAATCAGTTGTCTAAGGGATATAGACATAACACATGGGGTCAGGGATCATTTGAAGGTCAGAGACCATCCAGTAAACAATGACATTAGTGTGGGAGCAAGAGGTCAGCTTCGAGGTCAAGGACATCTAGGGGTCACAGAGGTTTTCTAGAGTCAGCAGGTCATCAAAGGGCTTTGGGGTCAACCAAGAGACAAGGAGGGGAGACATCATGGACTTCAAAGATCAGAGACCAATAGACCAGAGGGCTCCAGGATGTCAACCAGAGGTCATGGAGAGTGTCCAAGGTCTGAGAGGTCAAGAAGAGGTCAGAGGTTATCCAGAGTGTGCTTTTGAGACCCTTCAGGAACAGAGACAGAGATCCCCAAAGATGAGGCTGCTGAATCGTAGCTGGGGAAACCGCTGATGGTTGGGGGTGGGGGACCCCAGCATCATCGGAGGGAAGCGTGTGTCTGGATAGGGGACCTGAGCACAGTGATGGAACGAGGGTTGAGACCACAGCACAGAGCGGGAGTTCCTGGGTGGATGGGGAAGACGTGGGAAGGCAGAGGTCGCGGAGAGGCGACCATGTGGGGGAGGCTCGGACTTCCCACCACCGCTGCCTCCTGGGGGCTGGCTGGGCACGGGGTCCACTCCTCAGTGCTGTCGCCGCCCTCTCCCTGGCCTTCCTGGGAGACTCATAGTGCCTTATTCCCCCCCTCCTCCACCACCCCGCCCACACCACGGCTGACAGATGATCGTAAGTAGAGGCCCGTCTGTCCGTCTGTCTGTACGTCCGCCCGCTCTATGTTCTGGACTCGGCCCGCCGCGCGGCTGCACCCCCTTCACCCAACGCCCCCTCCTCCCCCAGCGGACCCCACCCACCGTCCCACCTCTCGCCTAGATGTGCCTGTGTCTGTCTCGGGGCGGGGCATGGGGAGGGGCGGGGCCGGGAGGGAGGGAGGCCACGCCCATCAGCCCTGCCCCCTGAGAAGGCGCGAGGAGGCGGGACCAAAACCCACCAAACCTGGGGCCCATCTTCCCCTTCGCCTCTGCCCTCTCTCACCTTTTAGTTAAATTCACCCTCATCCTGTGCTCAGATGCTCCAAGGATACCAGGGTCTCTCCTCTTAAGTTAAAAGGAGGTGCAAAGTCGTGGGCCTCCTCTGACCTCCCTTTCGGGCCCTGAAGTGTTCACAGTCCCTAAAATGTTGGCCCCCACCACACTGGTCCTTGTTCCCACTTCGACTCCCTCAAAGTCCCAGGTTCTAGACTCTCAACCTCTGTCGTCCCTCACCACCCCTGCCTACCCTTCTCCTTCCTGCTTCACCCCCTCACAGACACACAGAAACCTCAGACACACACCCAGGTGCTCAGATGGGACACAGTGTTATGACTTTTGTGTCAGGCAGTTGTTATTAGATGCCACTGAGTCGCATTGGTTCCGGCTCATAGTGATCCCATGCACAACAGAACAAAACACTGCCCAGTCCTGTGCCATCCCCGTAGTTGCTATGTTCAATCCCATTGTTGCAGCTACTGTGTCAATCCATCTAGTCAAGGATTTCCCCCTTTTGCTGACCTTCTACTAGGTATGATGTCATTCTCCAGGGACTGGTCCCTCCTGATAACATATCCAATGTATGTGAGACAAGTCTTGCCATCTTTGCTTCCAAGGAGCATTCTAGCTATACTTCTTCCAAGACAGATTTTTTTGTTCTTCTGGCAGTCCGTCGTGTATTCAGTATTCTTCCCTAGCACTATAATTCAAAGACATCATTTCTTCTTCAGCTTCCTTATTCATGGTCCAGCTTTCCCATGCATATAAGGTGATTGAAAATACCATGGTTTGGGTCAAGTGCACCTAATTTTTAGTCCTTGGTGTCAGGCAGACTTGGAGTCAAATCCTGACTCAGCCACACTCTTTCTCTCTGTGACCATGGGCAGGTCGCACCATCTCCCAGCCTCAATGTGTGTGTTTTTTTTTTCCCCTGGAAAATAGGGTTAATTGCAGCAACTACTCTGAGGGTTGTTGTGAGGACTGAGTGAGATGATGCATTAAAGTGCTCATCCCAGTGACTGACCCAGAAGCAGTGCTCATTAAATCAGAGCTAATATTATTAATGTAGGTGGTGGTGGTGGTAATATGTAGACACACACAAGGATAGAGACATATCAGCAAAAGCGTCTGGGTTCCCTTTTCTGGATGAGACAAAGATGTTGAAAGATTTCACCTTGTCCAAAGCTTCCTAGTGCTCCTCTCACTTCTTGGTGGCTGCAACCTGCGACTTTGTCTGTAACCACCTGGTGGCAGTGTACCCAGCCACAGGCAGTGCACTCATAGGCAGGGAGATAAAGGGATTCACATTTATCGATGGCTTCCTGTGTGCCAGATGTCATAGCTCATGTTTTAGCTCACCTTCATGACAATCCTTTGAATAAAGTGGATATAATATCCAATTCCAATTTTGCAGATGAGGAAAGTAAGAGTCAGAAGGAGAAGTCATTTGCTCAGGGTCACATCGTAAATGTACACCGGAGTAAGGATTCAGTTTTAGGTCTCTCTGAATATGGAGCTCATTTGATTTCTTGTTAACCCACGAACCAGGAGGCTCATGTGTACAGTAAATGTAAATGGATTATATTTTGGCAGTGACCATGCTCCTTTCTCTCTGGCTCTGCATTTCTGTCTTTCTGTATCTCTCCTCCTCTCCTCCCTCTCTGTTTCTTTCTCAGTTTCTTTCCTATCTCTCTCACACCTGTTAAGAGTTAGTCAGCAAAGTATACATGTATTGCCCGTGCAACCCAACCACCAGCTCCCTGTATGGTCCAGATGTCTCTCATCCCCTGTCCCTGTGAGTACACATGTGAGCCCCCTATGTCCCACCCAACACAAATTGCTAGGTTGATCACCCTGTGACGTTGTCTCTGCAGGGGACCCTCTTGAGAAAACATGGCAAGGGATTAGAAAAGGTAATGAGGGCCTCGCCCCTACTGAGGCCCCGAGCTCCGGTGTCTGGCGTGTATGTGTATCTATCTCTGTGTGTGCATGGACAGGAAGGCCAGAGGAGGGCATGGGTAGGAGACGGGCATCCTAACCAGGTCTCACAAAACCAGATATCGGAGACAAGGTGATTGCCTGTGCACACAACTTGCAGTGTGAGTGCAAGTGTGAGCAAACATGTGTGCACAAACAACTCCCACCCTCTCATAGCAACGCCCAAGGGGCTCATCCCAGCCTGGGGCTCAGCCGAAATTCTGGCTTTGCAAAAGTGCCAAGAACTGGGCCATTGCCTTGAGCCGGGGCATTTGTTGTTTTATTGTGGGCTTTATTCTAAAGGCTGTTTGCTGTAAGGTGATGGGAGCTGTGGCAACACCAGGAAACTGCCCTATTGAGCACTGTACAAAAGTGTCCTGCGTGCACACAAATGAGATCTCAGCTTCATGATCTTGGGCTACAGACAGGGCTTCCCCACCCATTCAGCCAGCTCCGTGGGTGCCACGTCTGTGTGCCAGGCACTGTATACACGTATGTGCATGTGTGTATAGGTGAGAGTGTGTGATTGTGCACACATGTGTGAATGTTTAGGCACGCACGTGTGTATTTTAGCATGAGTTCTGCGTATATGTGTGTGTGTCTTTGTATGTTGATCTGGCTGTATGCGTGCTTGAACTTTCTGCACACACGTTTGGACTTGCCTGGATGTGTCTGTATGTTGCGTGTACTGGAAATAACATGGTATGTTTTCCTTCAGAGTCAGACTGGGCTGAGGCATTGGGGGTTGGAGGAGGAGAGACCCCAAGCCCCCTCTCTCCTCTCCCTGTCCCTAAGAGGCCCCCTCCCAGAATGCACTGACAGTGGGATCTGGCCACTTGTCCCCAGGTGAGGGGCTCACTTCAGACTGTTGAGCACCCTGAGAGTGCCCTGGCCATCCAGGAGTCTGTCCCTGAGCCCCCACCGAGGAACAAAGAAAGATGCCCACCTGGGGAGGGTACCTAGGCCCCGGGAGGGAACTTGCGGGCTGGCGAGTGGGACTGTTTTGAGGGGGTAGGGAAGTCCCACTGAGTATCCCCCCAGCAGCCACCAAAACTCTGACCTCCACCTGATTCTCTCCACAGGGCAGGGTGAAATTGCCAAGCCACTCAGACGTAAGACCAGCCTCTCACTGTCTGTCTGGCTCCTACCCCCACCCCACCCCACCCTATACCCCTTCCTGCCTCTGTGGTCCGTGCCGTCCAGGGGCCCACTGTGAACCTGTCTGTTAGTCTCTTCTTCCTTTGTCTGTCTGGCTTGCTCGTGGGGGTTGGTATGGGCAGGGGGCAGGGGGTGGGAAAGAGGGTGTCCTCACCCGACTGCCGGCGGATGCAGCAGGGGAAACTGAGACCCAGACAGCTGGGTTCCTGAGTAGCTGTGCCCCATGAGAACATCAAGAAACTGAAGCCAAGAGATAAGAATAGTAACATCAGTAGTAACCAGTTGCAGTGGTAGAGTGGCTGGCTCTTAGCCTATCAATGTAACTCCAAATATCCCAGCTATAAAAGCTCCCTCCCTGCCTAGCCCAGCCCAGGACCCCAGATTGCCCCAGGATTCACAAATACAGGCTCCTGACTTTGTCTATACTCAGCCCCACTGCAAGCCCAAGCTAGTCTCATATCCCAGTTATCCAAGGATAGAAACTGAGGCCTAGAGAGGATCAGCTCAGGGACATGCCAAGGTCATACAAGGTGGTGATGAAGGAAACAAGGAAGGAGCAGGACATAGGACTGCCAGGCTGGCATGCTGTCTCCCCCAGCACCACCATGACTTTCAAAAGGTTACACCAAGTGATTACAGTGAACACTGAACAAGGACGTTTAGTCTTAACTGAGCGGGGAAGTAGATGTGATTTCCCCCTTCTAGGTGGCAAAAGTGAGGCACAGAGAGGTTAAGTGACTTGCCCAAGGCCACACAGTAGGGCTGGGATTTGAACCCAGGTCCACCGAGCTGTAACCACAATACCATCTTCGTACTGATTATTTTGGGGAGGGGAAGGGGATGGATACTGAGGTGTGTGTTTATTTTTTTTGGGGGGCGGATCAGAGGACAGATATTCTTCCTTATAAAGGGTCTAACAGTGCCCCCAGATTTCTGGGGTAATTCTTCTCCCTGGAGGAAGGATGGTCCCATGGATGGGGGAGGAGTGTCACCAGGGCCATTTCCCAAGACCCTTGTCCATCTGTGGTTTTCCTAAGACCTGGAGCTGGCTAAGTCCACTCCTTCCACCTGGGGCATCATCCCACCAGCCACCCATCAATCCCTGCTCCCTGCTCATTTCTCTGACCCCAAGAACCTAGGGTCATGGTGAGGATGGGAGGGTGGGAGAGTCCTCATGGGTGTGGGATTTGGGGGGTGAGGTCATTACCTCCTTCACAGCACTTCCGGGGGGACTTCAGACCTCTGTCTCCTCTGAGGACACTGCCTTGCCCAGAGCCTTTGCACAAAGACCGAGATGGTGTCCAGGGCTGGGATCTCAGCCAGGTGCTTAGGGACTGGACTGGCCCAACCCCTGCCCTCAACCCAGCTCTGTCTATTGTTACCTGCAGGGAACCCAGATGATCTTCAATGCAGCCAAGGAGCTGGGTCAGCTGTCCAAACTCAAGGTGAGACCAGAGATGAGGGTGGGCTGGGGGCTGGATGTCCAGGGGAGGGGGGATATCATATCCCAGGTTATCGACAGACTCAAGGGACAGAAACCCAATGCAGAATGTCTCAAGCACAATTTATTGGCTTGAATGTGTTGGGAAGATGTTCATCGGCCAGCTTCAGATACAGCTCGGTCCAGGAATCTGTCTTGTTAACCTCAAGTAAATCAAACTTGCTGCCATCGAGTTGATTCTGACTCACAGTGACCCCGTTAGGTTTCCAAGGTGGTGAATCTTTATGGAAGCAGGTTGCCCAGTCTTCATTCCATGGAGTGGCTGGTGGGTTTGAACCACCCACCTTCTGGTTAGCAGTCAATGCCTTAGGCACTGCGCCCCCAGAGCTCCTTCTTAGTTACCCAGCGCACTGTTTCTCTCTGTGTGCATTGAAGGGAGAGCCTTGTCTCTTCAGCTTCCGTAGCTGCAGCATTCCGGGCTCCTTGGTGATCTCCAGGTTGGGTCTGTCTTCCCCCATGTGTGCTCCCTCCTGTGTCTAATGTGCCCTTTTTGTAGCTAGGAAGCAATTGGGTTTAGGACCCAGGTTACACTGATAATGGCCTCGTAGAACAAGGAACATAACAAAGGAAGCCCTATTTCCATCCACAGGTACAGGGGTTAGGATTCCAGCACATACATTCAATCCATAGCAGAATGCACATCATTTTTCAACAAATATTTATTGAGTGTTTGCTGTGTACCAGTCATATCCTGAGTGCTGTGGAGAAAATGAAGAAAATCAACAGACCCAATCTCCAACCCCTCAAAGTGTAAGAGGGATGAGACCGATTATCAGGCAGATCCCCAGGGTGGTCCCTGCTCTGCCCACCTGGCCCCCTTCTCCATCCATCTAGGACCACATGGTTCGAGAGGAAGCCAAGAGCTTGACCCCAAAGCAGTGTGCTGTCGTCGAGCTGGCCCTGGACACCATCAAGGTGAGAGCTCCACCTAACTCCCCTCCAAGTGCAGTGGGCAGAGGGTGTGGTTGGTGTGGCTGGGAGCTTTTGAATTCATTCCGTTTATGTTTAAATGTTTATCAGGGGTCCCCTGATGTCCATTCTGTGCCAGAGCCAGGCTGAGTGATGTTGGGGTTCTGTGGAGCCCCAGTCTGGGGAAGACACCTGGATACATACATCTCCATCTCTGTGGGGTCAGGGCTGGGGTAAAAGGAAGAATGGACACTGGGGAAGCCCAGGGAGGGAACTGAAGACTTTCTGGAGAGGAGATATGAGAGGTGGGTTTGGGGAATGCATAGGAATTCACCAGGCAAAGCCGGACATGCGCAAAGGCCCTGAGAAGGGAATGAGAGGGGAGCAGGAGAACCTAATTTGGGTATTTCCGACCTTCCTGGCCATTGAGTGCCGAGCGCCATTCTCACCTTTCCACACTTCTCCCAGCAATACTTCCACGCAGGAGGCGTGGGCCTCAAGAAGACCTTCCTGGAGAAGAGCCCAGACCTGCAGTCCCTGCGCTATGCGCTGTCGCTCTACACACAGGCCACCGACCTGCTTATCAAGACCTTCGTGCAGACGCAGTCAGCCCAGGGTAAGGGTGTCCAGCCTGCAGGGCCAACCTAGCCCCAGGGCCTGTGGACCTCACTGGGCTCTGCCACCATTGGCTCGCCCCTCTATGACGTCATGGGCCAGCAGTAATTGACAGCTCTAGGGCATATGGGAATTCTGTGATGTCATGATGTCATTGAGTGATAGATGTTGTGGGACGGAACCTATGATGTCATAGGAGGAGGGAGTGATTGTCGTATTCTCCAAGGACCTTGACAGCAGGCACCAGGGAGTGACTGACAGCTTTCTGGGTGGGAGACTTTGACGTCACTGGGTTAGGGATTGATTGACAGCTTTGGGGCGAGACCACTTTGACTGCAGGGACACAAGAGTGATTGATAACTACTAGGAGTGGAACCTAGAAGTCATAGGACCAGGTAATGATTGATTGCTCAGAGGCGGGAGGGATCTCTGACATCACTGGGCCATGAAGGGATTGACAGCTCAAAGATGGGTGAGACCTGTGACAGTTTGGAGACAGGAATGACGGACAGATCTCCGTGGGAGCTATAACATCATAAGACTAGAGGGTGATTGTCATCTTCTGAGAGGACTATGGTGGTTCAAACCCACCAGCTGCTCTGCAGGAGGAAAATGAGGCAATTTACTTCCATAAAGATTTACAGCCTTGGAAACCCATGGAGGTCTGTATGAGTCAGAACTGAATGGATGGTAGTGGGTTTGGTTTGGGGAGGACAGTGACCTCAGGGACCAAGGAGTGATTGACAACTTCTAGGGGCAGGACTTCCAGCTTGAATTTCTGGAAGTTCTCTGTCAGTCAGGATTGGAGGAAGACTCATTAACAAACTGCGCTTGCTGAAAGTGAAAATAACTGGAAGTACTTGCTGATGAAGCTCAAAGACTCCAGCCTTCAGTATGGATTACACCTCAACATAAACAAGACAAAAATGCTCACAACTGGACCAGTAAGCAGCAGCACAATAAAAGGAGGAAAGATAGAAATTGTCGAAGATTGCATTTTACTTGGATCCACAATCAACACCCATGGAAGCAGCAGTCAAGAAATCAGACATTATCTTGTACTGGGAAAACCTGCTGCAAAAGACCTCTTTAAAGTTTTACAGAGCAAAGGTGTCACTTTGAAGACTAAGTTGTGCCTAACCTGAACTAGGGTATTTTCAGTTGCCTCATATTGAACAATCAATAAGGAATACCAAAGAAGAATTGATACCTTTGACTTGGGGTGTTGACAAAGACTATTGAAAATACCATGGACTGCCAGAAGAACGAGCAAATCTGTTCTGGAAAAAGTGCAGCTGGAATGCTCCTTAGAAGTGGGAATGGCCAGACTTCCTCTCACCCACTTTGGTCATGTTGTCAGAAGGGATGGTCCAGCTGGAATGCTCCTTAGAAGTGGGAATGGCCAGACTTCCTCTCACCCACTTTGGTCATGTTGTCAGAAGGGATGGTCCCCAGAGAAGGGTGTCATGGTGGTAAAGTAGAGCGTCAGGGAGAAAGAGGACCCTCAATGAGATGGATTGACACAGTGGCTGCAACCGCGGGCTCAAGCTTAGCAAGGACTGTGAGGATGGCCCCAGACTGGCCGGTATTTCCTTCCGTGGGACATGGGGTCGCTATGAGTCTGGAAGGCCCCTAGTACAAGGGCAGGACCTAGAAGTAATAGGACCAGGGAGTGATTGACAGCTCCGGGCCAGTAAGGTCCTCTGATATCATGGGGCCAGAGAGTGGTAGGCCCCTCTGGGTCAGGACCACTTGGACGTTGTTGTTGTTGTTGTTGTTATGTGCCACCGAGTCGTCCCCGACTCATAGCCACCCCTCCTTGGGTTTCCGAGGCAGTATCACTACGGAAGTAGGATTGCCCAACCTTCCTTCCGAGGAGTGGCTGGTGGGTTTGAACAGCCAGCCGTCTGGTTAGCAGGCAAGTGTCTTAGCCACTGTGCTACCAGAGCTCCCACTTGGACGTTAGTGACTAGGAAGTGACTGACGACTTTTAGAGGCAGAATCTCTACGTCATTGGATCAGGAAGTGGGAGAGGGACTGCTTTGACGGCAGGGACCATAGAGTGATTGACAACTCCTAGGGGCGGGACCTAGAGGTCATAGGACCAGGGAGTGATTGACAGCTCGGGGATGGGCGGCATCTGTGACATTTTGGAACCAAGAATGATGGACAGCTCTGGGCGGGACCGCTGACGTCCTTGGGCCAATTGACGGCCCAGGGTGTGTGAGGGACGTGAACCTGGAGGTTGATGGAGAGGGCGACTCCCTCAAATTCTCTCTCGTCTTGACTCCGTCTCCTATACCTCTCGGAGCTCATTCGCAGTAGCTGGGGCTGGCGGCAGGACTCCCGGGGTCTCTTTCCCCTCCTTGGGGACCGTCTCTTCTCAATTGGCCCTAAAGGCGTTGATCGCGGGGAGGGAAGGGTGCCCTGGAGCCCGGAGGTAGGGGAGAGGCTGCAGGGGTGCCCTCCACCTTGTCACCTGGGGCCCAACCGGCGCCTTATTCCAGCTCTCAACTCCCCGCCCCCAGCCCTTGCTGCTTTTAGTGTCACCGGCGTCGTCCCGGAGCGGGAGGCCGCCTGTCCGTCTGTCTGCCGCTGACGTTTCTCTCTCTCTCTTGTTTTTCCTCCCTTTCACTCGCCGACCCCTCCGCGCCTCCCCCGCTCCCCGCCACGCACTCGCCCCTCCATCCTCTCGCTCGTCTCCGTCTCTCCGCCCCTCCCCCTTCCCGCCTTTCTCCTCCCCCCCGATTAGTCCATGGTGGCAAAGGGACTAGGTTTACCCTTAGTGAAGAAATTTATCCTGAGAAGGGTACGTGCCTCCGCCGCCCGCCCGCCAAACCCGCCCGCCCGCCAAGCCCGGTGCCCGGTGCCTGCGCCCCTCCCGGCCCCCGGCTAGTAGAAGGCCCGTCCTTCCGCCTCCCCGGCCCGCGGACCAGGACCTGCGCTGAGAGGGCCACCGCTGGAGGCGGAAGGACGGAGTGCTGGTTCCACCAGGGGAAGGAGAAGCTACCGGAGTTGATTCGGTTCTCCCTAGGCGCATCTCTTAACCTGAGTCCCTGGTCACCAAATGAGCCGCATGTGTGGTCAAGAATGGGGCTCAGATCTGAGGCCAGAGGCCCCCTGAGTCTCAGTTTTCTCATCTGTGAAATGGGGGCAATCATAGGCCCTATATCATGGGATTCCTCTTAGCATCTGACAGTTCAGTTAAGAGCAGTTCTGGCAGGTAATAAACTTGCAACAATTTAGGTAGTGGTACTACCCTTGGAAAGCTGGCGGTTCAAACCCACCAGCCACTCCTCAGAAGGAAGATGGGGCAATCTACTTCCGTAGTGGTACTGCCTCGGAAACCCAAGGAGGGGTCGCTATGAGTCGGATCTGACTTGATGGCACATAACAACATAACAACAACAACAACAACTACCCTTGGAGTTCCTGGGTAGTGCACATTGTTAAGCGCTGTACTATTAACAGGAAGGTTGGCAGTTCAAACCCATGCTGAGGGGCCTTGGAAGAAAGGCCTGGTGACCTGCTCCCCTATGGAGTCCAGTTCTACTCTGAGCCTATGTGTAGCCATGAGTTGGAATCGACTTCACAGCAACTAGCAGCAACAACGGTGTTGTTACGCCTGATGTCACTTTTTCCAGAACAGAAAGTGAAAATTTACGGCAGGCACTAACTGAGCCAGCCCCTGTGCTGGCTAGGGATGGTCTCAAAAGACTGGTCCCAACTGCCCCATGAGGGTGTTCATCCCTCCACAGATGAGGATGCTGCGTCTCAGCAGGGCTAAAGCCACTTGCCTAAAGAGCCTTTCCCTGTGAGGGGATCCGGGAATTGAGTGGGGAGTGGGATTAGGGAAGCACAGAGTGGCCCACGGACGACCCTTCCCCTTGGAGCCAGCAAAGCACGGGATGGGGGCGCCCCAGCACTGCCCCCCTCCCCCCTTCTTACTAGCTTTGGCCTTGGTCTGCCCCTCACCTGACCCACCACTGTCCAGCTCCACCCCGGCACCCCCAGTCTGGCCCGGATTGAGCTTGCTGCAAGCATCGGCCTGGGGGGGCGGTGAGGCTGAGCATGCGACTGGTGGGGGGCGGGGGGTGGGGGGCGCCTGAGTTGACCAGGAAGGTGGCTGGGGGTAGGCAAGGAAGATGGGGGCACGCATCCCAACACTGGGGTAGTAGGAGTCTCCAGGCCTCCGCTGCCCCTAGCCTCAGTCACTTCCCGTCCAGTGCAAGGTATCCCGGATCAACCTTGGACCGAGCTAATCCCCACCCCAAACCCCGATCCTCTCCCCATGCATGTGGGGCTCCAGGCGTGGGGAGCTGCCTGGGGGGCTGGGGAGGGGCTGAGTGGAGGTGCTGGCAGTCACAGGTTCCCAGGCCCAGCAGGATGCCTCTCCCAGAGTCACAGAGGGAGGCATGAGGACAGACGCCTTTAAGCTCCCCCTTCAATCCCAATCCCCATACAGACCAAACAGTCGAGAGGCTTGTGGGGATCAGAAAGGACACCCTACCTGTGGCTCAGGCAAACAAGTGAATTTGTTCACTGAAAGGTCTAGAACTGAAAGGTAGAGGGTCAGTGACAAAGAGGAAGACCTTCAACAAGATGGATTGGCACAGTGGCTGCAACAGTGGCTTTGAGTATAGCACCCATGTGAGGCTGGCACAGGACTGGGCAGTGTTTTGTTCTGTTGTATGTAGAGTCGCTGTGTGTTGGAACCGACTCGATGGCACCTAACAACAACAACAACAACACAACTGCAAGACTAAAGGTAGCGCTGGCATCAGGAACTGCTTGATCTAGAGCCTCTGAAAATACCGTTAGTTATTAGTCTTAACTGTGAAATGACAGATTCCGGGCCAAGTTACACAAATTTTAAGAAAGATTTTATTTACAAGTAAACCCAATTGCTGCAATAAGGAAACTTGGCATTTGTGAGGAGACCCCAAGGACTGTGATTTGAGAGGGAGAGTGGTCTCTTTGTATAGGAACTTTGAGGAAGTTGAAAGGAGCTATGGTGGCACCATAGTTAAGGCATGGCTGCTAACCAAAAGTCAGTGGTTCAAACCCAGCAGCTCCTCTGTTTGCGAAAGATGAGGCAGTCTACTTCCATAAAGATTTAGAGCCTTGGAAACCCTATGGGGCAGTTCTACTCTGTTCTGTAGGGTAGGCGTGAGTCACAATCAACTCTATGGCAGTGGTTTGGTTTGGTTTTGAGGAAGTTAGTTGGAAAAAATGGGATAGGTTTTGGAAAGTTGTCTTAAAGGCAGGTACTTTCAAAGTGGTAGCAAGTTTGTGATTGTGCTATGTGTCCTTTCTTTCATTTGTAATAGGTGCAGTGGTTCTTGGCTTTATTGTGAGGAAGTCTCAAAGGAATGTGCATTTAGAAAATACCAGTTAAATCAGGTTTACAGGTGGAAGAACCTAAGGCTGGTCTAGGCTGGTTACGGTCATTACTGGTTAATACTGCTGACTCACTTTTCATGCTCACTGGGCAGAGAAAGCCCTGGAAGTTCCAATGTTGTCCCTGCAGGCTTAGCATCCACACCCTTGCCCAAAGATGAACACTCTTTTAACTATCAGTTCTAGTCACAGTTGCAGAGACAAGTCCTATTGGGTCAGCTTGGATCACATGACCACCCTTGGGCCAATCACTGCAGCCATGGATAGGGAATGCTTTGATTGGATGTTTTTGGCTCATTTAGCCATACCTGAAGCTGGGATGGAGCCCTGCCCTATCTGAACCCCAAGGTCTGAGGTAAGGGTCAGGCATTCCTCAACAGAAGGCAGAGATTCTGATTGGAAGGGCAGTGATGTGGGGGCAAGGAAAATAATAGAGGTTCCTACCAGCTGGCATTTCATGAGGGGCAAGGTTTCTGGGCCTGGAGTAGAATTAGCGAGGGCCAGTGGAGGGAAATGTGTCATATCAGGAGGGACAATGTAGTCACAGAAAGGACTTTGATTATTACAGAGTGAGATGGGAGCTATGGCAGGATTTTGAGCAGGAGGGGGATATGATCTGCCTTAATAGTGTTCTTCTGGTGTGTTCAGCGTGTCTGAGCTGAGGGCAAGGGCAGAAGCAGGGAGATGAGGGAGGAGGCTGTCTTAGTTTCCTATGCTGCTGTAACACAAATACCACACATATGGACTTGAAAGAACAGAAATTTGTTTTCTCACGGTTCTGGAGGCTGGAAGTCCAAATCTGGGTCTTGGCCCTGTCAGTTTCTTCCTTGTTGGTAGCCCAGGGCCTTCCTTGATTCCTTGACTCACATAGGGTGTATTTTCCCCCATGTCTGTGTCTGCGTCCATTCTGCTCTTTACGGAGCTCAGAAGTGATTAGGTTTAGGATCCATCCTATGCTGGTAAGACCTCAACTGATTGGTGAAGTACATTATATTAGGTTGCATTATGGACAGTGATTACATTACACTGTGTTACATTACGTTACTGTACAGAAGGTGATTACAAAGGTTGCTGCAGTAGTCCAGGTGAGTGCTGGTGGGAGCTGAATTAAGATGGAAGCCAAACAGGTGGGCCCGATTCTGGATATATTTGGAAGGGAGAGCCCTCAGGATTTGCCAAGTGTATCAGCACTTAGGGGGAGAGTGAAAACAAGGAAGGAGGCTAGGACTGAGGTGTGGGCACTTTTAGGACGTGCAGCGGAGGAGGAACCGACAAAGGAGGGTGAGAAGCAGCAGCTAGATTGGGAGGCTGAAGACCCGCAGAACATGGCAATGACTTCAAGAGAAGAAACACTGACACAAGTGGCCGGAGTGTCAGGGGCTGCTGAGATGGTGTGTAAGATAAGTGCTGAGTTTGACAACATGGCGGTAACGGGAACTAGAGAAAGGGAGGCAGATGAATCCAGAGAGGTTAAGACATCTGCCCAATATCACACAGGAAGACAGTGAAAGGCCCGAACCCGGGGTTCTTGGCCCCCCAAGAGCACCTATCCTCCCAGCCCCCCTCAGTGCCACTCTGTTGGGACTGATGACCTGGTGCTGCCAGCACGTGGGGCAGGGGGAGGCAGTCGTGGTCCCTCCTGGCGGGTGGGGAAGAATGGAGCTCACACCAAGTGTCCTCCCCTGTGCCACCCAGGCTCGGGTGTAGAAGACCCTGTGGGTGAAGTCTCTGTCCACGTTGAGCTCTTCACTCATCCCGGAACGGGAGAACACAAGGTCACAGTAAAAGGTGAGTGGCCTGAGGTAGGGGGTAGGGTTTTTTTGGGGGGTGCCTCAGCCAGCACTCCTTAAATTCTGAGACCCAACTCAAACTGGATTAAGCAAGAAAAAAAAAATCTTGTGTAATGGTTCATAAAACAGAAATGTTCAGAAGTAAGCCACCGTCAGGCTTGGCTGGATCCAGAATCAGTCCCACTTCTCTCTCTCAATTCTGCTTACTTTTTTTTTGTTTGTTTTTTGGCTTTTATTCTGTAAATTAGAATACAGATTGGGCTGTTGTACCCAAGCCTTAAAATAACAGTGGCTTAAACAAAAAGGAGCTCTGATGGTGCAGTAGTTAAAGCAATCAGGTGCTAACCAAAAAGTTGGTGGTTCAAACCCACCAGCTCCTCCATGGAAGGAAAACGAGGCAGTCTGCTTCCGCAAAGATTTACAGCCTTAGAAATCTATGGGGCATTTCTACTCTGCCCTATAGGGTCACTTTGAGTCAGGATCAACTCATGGCAGTGTGTTTGGTTTTGGTTTTATGGGGGAGGAGGGGCAACTTAAAAGCAGGGAAACCCGTTACAAAGTTACTACAATAATCTAGGCAAGAAGGTTGGACTAGGAGAAGTGGTAGGTTTTTTCTGTTTCTTTTGAAAATACAGAATGAGGAGGGTTTGCAGATGTTTGGATATAAAGTATAAAAAAAAGAACAAAAGAGAATCTCAAAGTGGGAGACCTGAGCAATTTTAAGAATGGACCTGACCGTTCTGAGATGATGGAGAATTTCTTTTTCCATGGGTGGTGCAAATGGTTTATGTGCTTAGCTGCTAAGTGAAAGGATGGAGCTTCAAATTCACACATAGGCACTTGGAAGAAAGGTCTGAAAACCTCCTGAAAAGTCACTCACTGGAAATCTTTTGGAGCCAGTTATACTCTGACACCCATTGGGTTGCCAGGAATTGGAGTCGACTCTATGGCAACAGTTTTTTTCTTTTTTTTTCCTGAGGTAACAACGGAAGATTGGGAATCTTCTTCAGTTAGTGATACCGCCTCAGAAACCCAAGGAGGGTTTCTAGAGTCAGATCCAACTTGATGCACCTAACAACAACAACAGAGCTGATGTGGTTGCTCTGCAGTATTGGGGATCCAGACTCCTTCCATCTTTTGTTGCATTATCCCCCCAATGTGATTTCCTTCCCTCTAGGGTCTCAAAGAGCTCAGCCCCACCCACCAGTCCAGCCTGCAGCTAGATTAGCAAAGTTTAGGGCACTTTCCCTGCTTTTTAAAGCCACAACCTAGAAGTTGATACATTCATTTCTCACACATCTCCTTGGCCAGAACTACATGACCACACTTGGCCACAGGGGTTGCTGGGAAATGTAGTCTTTATTTCAGCCTAGCTTTGAAATCCACAGATTTCTGTTAGATCCCACTCTGGGATCCTGACTAGCCTTACCCTCTACTTCCCTGAACAGTGGTGGCTGCCAATGACCTCAAGTGGCAGACTTCTGGCATCTTCCGGCCATTCATTGAGGTCAACATTATCGGGCCCCAGCTCAGCGACAAGAAGCGCAAGTTTGCCACCAAATCCAAGAACAACAGTTGGGCTCCCAAGTACAACGAGAGCTTCCAGTTGTGAGTATGGAATGCTTTGGGGGAACAGAATGGAGGGGTACCGGCCAGGTGAACCTCAGGGGCAGATAGTCAGGAGGGATGTCTGAGGGGCCAGAAATGGGAGGGGCATGTCCTGGGAGGGCACAGGAGTGAAGTCAAGGTGACACTGGAATGGAAGTCACTTTGGGGGGGCAGACAGGTCCCAAGGAGGCAGTGAGTGTTTTAAGGGGGATGAAGTGGGGAAAAGGTGGGGGTCATGTTGTGATGAGGGCATCCGCAGAGGAAAGGGAAGTGTGGGCAGAGGGGTATGTCAGTGGGGCCATTTCTGGGGCTGGAGACTCTGGTCTGATAATGGGTGTGTGGGTAACAATGGCGTGTGAGAAGCGTTCAGGTGCTTGGGTCAGGGTTGGGATCCTGTGGGAACAGGGACTCCTGGAGTCAGGACTGGACCTTGCTCAGGCTGTTGGGTCATGTCGCTAGAGGGAGTCGGCTCTTGGGAACAAGAACTCAGCTTGGTGTGGGCTTGAGGGTGGGTATCATGTGAGGTGAAGTGAGGTCACATCCAGATGGAGGTTCCTGGAGTCAAGAATGGACTTGGACAGGAGCGCTGCGAGGAAGCAGTGTCACCCTGGGGGATCACGGAGTCAAGAGTGAGTCGGTGGGGGTGCAGGGTAGAGTTACCTGGGGAGTTGTAGAAATGGCCTGATGGTGTCTTAACTCCTTTCACTTCACAAGGAGCTTAGAAGAATCAACAGCCCAAGGCTGATTCCTATGAGGGGAAGTCAGACATATCTCCACTTTCCAACCTTTCCACCAATTGGGACACCAGCTGTCCCTCCCACAGCACTCTCTACTCCTCTACTGAGTTCCATGATTGGTTGCAAAGGCCACACAGAACTCATAGACCATACTCACAGTTATGGGGTTTATTAGGGAAGTAAGAGGTTACAATTCAGGATCAGAAATGACTCCAGATACAGTTCAGTCAGGATAGCATAGCTGGGCCATGCCTACAGACAGAGCTCTCCCTGGCCCTCAGCCCTTAGGCCTCTGGGGCTAGCTGCCCCTTGACCTGATCAGGCAAGTGTTACAGAGCTCTTTAGCTCCAACAGTAAGTGCCCTGGGGCACGCCACTTAGCCTCAGCCCAAAGGCACTCATCTTACTGGCTCCATGGCAGGAAGCTCACAGAGCCATCTCCTGCTGGCCTCCTGCTTCTCCTGCCGTTTCTCTGCCGCTGCTTCTCACCATCTCACACTGTCTCTGGTGTTCCAGCTCGCTCTCTGACTCCTTGGCCTAAGAGGTTCTCAGTGAAGGGATCCCAGCTCCAGAGGACAGCTCCACTCCTAGCTCTTCTTTCTTGGTGGTAGTAAGGTCCCCCTGTCCACCTCTAAGATGGTTTAAGTCTAACCAGATGCCAAACTGAAACCCTCATTAGGGTTCCATACAGCTTATTTGCATGGTCCTGTCCCTCCAAGGATGCCATGCACCTTATTTGCATTATCAGCAAGCTATCCAATCCCCTTCCTAGGCCACAATCATTTGCATAGTCCTTCCCAGTCACTGGGGAGCTCTGGTGGTGTAGGGCCTAAAGCATTTGACTGCCAACCAGAAGGCTGGTGGTTCAAACCCACCAGCCACTCCTTAGAAGGAAGATTGGGCAATCTACTTCTGTAGTGATACTGCCTCAGAAACCCAAGGAGGGGTTGCTATGAGTCGGATCTGCCTCCACGGCAGTGCGTTTACCCAGTCATTTGGTGGGAGTTACAAGACCATGGTGAGAAAGGCCATGTAAAAGCGATCCACTGCACCACAGGAGTGAGGTTCCAGGTGGGCAGCAGTGAGCTTGGGTCTGGAGGAAAATGAGCACCTGGGGACATAAATAACTCAGGGTGTATTGGGGTGGGTTACCCAGGTTGGGGGTGGAGTCCCAGGGGGCAATTCTTTGGGTCAAGTGTGAACCTTACAGAGTGTTAGAGCAAGACACTGTTGGGGGTGTTCTTGGGGGAAAACAAGGAAGGGTAAAGAGGCATCAGATGGGATTACCTGGGAGAAGTGGGAACTCCTGAGGTCCGGGAGTTGAAGGGCCAGAATGGAGTCATGTTGGAGGAGTTTCTTGTTCAGAGGCTTTGGAAGGTAGGTCACCTAAGAAAAACCTTGGGAGGAGGAGTTCCACCTAGGTGGGGGAAAGGGGACCAGGTATCACCTGGGGTTGGGCCCTGAGTAACTTCTTAACTAGGAATGCTACCTCCTTTTGGAGGGGGAGGAACAGGGGGGAGCAGTGTGGATGTGGCGTGGAGAGGGATCTTGATCAGGGAGTTTCAGGGCTGGTCACTGGGGAGTGCTTGAGGGCAGAAGCCCAGTGTCATGGGAGAGATGGTACAGTGTGGGTGTCACCTGTGCTAAGACTTCATAACAGGTCATGTAAGGAGAGGTTTGTGGGGGAAGGAGGGGTGAACCTGGGGACACATTGGGGGTGCTTTGGGCTCAGGTGGGAGTTTGGTCCTGGCTTTTGTTGGGGGGCCTGCCAAGGCAGGCATCTCAGAGTGTGGGCATGGCCTGGTATTAGAGTGATGATGGAAGGGTCACTTGGGGTGGAGAAGTTGGTTCATTAGGGAACAGGTGTAGGCTGGCAGATGTCACTGCATGGGGGCAGGCCCAGCCAGAGTCTCAGTGTGTGGGTGTGTGGCCCATCCTGAGGGATTTAGATATCAAAATCATAGGGAGCATGAGTGCCACTTTTGGAGGGCTGGGCCGACCCACGGGGGAAGTCACAAGGTGGAGTCACTTGGTGTAGGTGTGGTTTAGAGCAGTGGTTGTGAAATGGGGTCATGTCGGTTGGTGTAGGGCCCTCTGAGTGCTTGCCACCAAGGGACAGTAACTGTGATTTAGCGCGGGAAGTCATATAGATGAGGGGGCATCCCCAGGGGTGAGCGTGGCCCACGCAGGGTTGTGGGGACAGGGCCACCTAGGGCGGGGTATAACCTAAAAGTGGGCGGTCACGGGGGTGGGATGTCATCTGGTGTGGGCATTACCAAGCAATAGGGCTGTAGGGGCGGGGTCCCCGGGGCGGGGCACAGCCTAGTGTGGGCAATCGTGGGGGTGGCCACGGAGTTGGGCGTCGTCATTGGGCGTGGCCCCTCACACCCCTCCCCCCCGCAGCACACTGAGCGCCGACGTGGGGCCTGAGTGCTACGAGCTGCAGGTGTGCGTCAAGGACTACTGCTTCGCGCGCGAGGACCGCACCGTGGGGCTGGCTGTGCTGCAACTGCGTGAGCTGGCCCAGCGCGGGAGTGCCGCCTGCTGGCTGCCACTCGGCCGCCGCATCCACATGGACGACACGGGCCTCACGGTGCTGCGCATCCTTTCGCAGCGCAGCAACGACGAGGTGGCCAAGGAATTCGTCAAGCTCAAGTCCGACACAAGATCTGCGGAGGAGGGTGGTGCCGCGCCTGCGCCCTAGCGCGGGCCGGGTGGGCGGTACTGCGCCTGCGTGGAGTAGGCGGGCGGCACTGTGCCTGCGCGGGGTTTTGGGGTCTGGCGGTGCCTATGCACCGGGACTTCGCAGAGGCCACGCCCTGAACCTCCGCGCCAAACGCGCGCTGCGCCTGGGTCTGCGCCTTTAACTTAGTTTCCCCTCTGGGGAATTGTGAGCGGAAGTCGCCCCGCCCTCTCTAGGAGGACATGCCCTAGGGCGAGAGGAAGGAAGAAGCCACATCTCCTACTTGAGGCCACGCCCCCAGCGTCTAAGGGATCTTTGGAGCTGGGAGGTGAGGAAGTCCCGCCCCTTTGGAGGAGGCCACGCCCTCTTGGGGGAAGCCACTCCCCTGTCCCCGGGAAAAGCCATAAAGAGTGATCCCAAAGCTCTCGGGGCCCCAGACCAATTGCCAAGTATGAAACTCTCAGCTCCCTGGGGTCTGGGGCCTGGGCAAGGGACAGGGCTCTGGAGCGCCCCTTGGGGTGGTCTGAGGGCTGGAGGGCCCAAAATGCAGATTGAAGGCTCCCCAGGAGGACTCGAGTCCCTTTGTGGTTGTGTGCAAAAAATAATCGGGGGGAGGGGGAAGGAGAGGATTTCAAAAGCACATGCGCCCTCGGGCGCTCACATTCTGGGGTCCGAGGGGACGACTCTGGGCCCCCCCTTCCGCACCGTTCCCACTCCTCTCGCGGGTTCTCCGTTTCTCCCCTACATACCCAGTCCTTCTGCATCATGGAGTTCAACCCACTTAATGGACAGATGGTGAAACTGATGCCCAGAAAGCTGCTAGAGACTCGTTGGAGGATCCCACTGCCACGCCCCCTCTTCACCCCCATTGGCCCCCATACCCCACTGAAGGGTGGGCTGAGGCCAGTGACCCACCTCAGCTCCCCATTGCTGCTAACTCCCCCTCGGGGGCCCTCTCCACATCCTTACATAGAGTGGGGGTCCTGGGCCAAGGCTCCCACTGCCTCCTCCCTCCTCTGGCTGCCAAGCAAAGAGCCTTCTTCCCTGTCCCTTCCACTAGGACCCCAGGGGGAGTGCTCTGAGCAATCTTGACCTCCTCACAAAACAGAGGATGGGGTCTTCTCATCCCAGGCTCCTTTCCAACCCTTTTATCCTCTCCCGGAACCCTCCAGGCAGGAAAAAACAGACCAGAAATTTTAGAGGGCTGTGTGTGTGTGTGTGTGTGTGTGTGTGTGAGAGAGAGAGACTATATAAGCATGTTCAGAGTTTATTTTCCAAAATCTCTTTCATAAATTCAGGATCCCCTGAAATGGGGCATTCCCCTGCCTAAAGCGCTTCAGCTGACAATATGGGGGAAAGTGCCACAAAGTCAGGGGTCCCTATGTTTTAACAATACCTTTTGGGAAGTTTTTCTGGCTCCTGCTGGTTTTGAAAGGAGCTTTGGTAGTGCAGTGATTGAATTCTCGGCTAACTAAAAAGTTGGTGGTTTGAATGCACTAGTTGCTCCGTGGGAGAAAGACTTAGCAACGTGCTTCTCTAAAGATTTCAGCCTAGGAAACCCGATGGGGCAGTTCTGCTCTGTACAGGGGATGGCTAGAAGTTGGAGTCGATTCAACAGTACACAACAACTAGTTTAGCACGGTTTGTGTTTGAGCTTCAGGTCCTGCTTTCTTTGTTGGGCACGTGGGTTTATGACAAGTTGCTTCTGGATTGTGCTGAATGCTGGGGAGAAATGAAATGAGGGGCTGAGATAGAGTGGCTGGGCTTGTGGAGGGGAAGTGGACATCTTAGGGGAAGTGAACAATAAGAAGGAACCTCCATTGCAGAAACAAGAGCTCCAACCAGAGGGCAAGGGACGGGGGCAGGGCATTGGGGGTTTGAGGTACAGTGAGGAGACCAGTGTGGACACAGGTGAGGGGACAGTGGGGGCGATGGGGACAGGGAGATCTGCAGAGGTCAGACCAGGCAGGGCCTCTTATGCAGCACCGAGGAGTTTAGGTTTTCCTCTAAGAGCCTGGAACAACAGATTTTAAAAATAGGGAGAGACCCGAATGGATTTCTCATCTCAAAAGCTCCCTCTGGCTGCCTCGTGGAGAATGGACCATTTGAGGACAGTTGGAAGGGGACAGAGAAGCGGCAAAGTGCTTTCAGGACATGGAATAAAGTTTTGGAAAGATTTTGGAGGATATTGACAAAAAGCAAAATCTGCCCTCAGCTGGCCCCCAAGACTGCTAAGTACAGTTGGTTCAGTTGTGCACTGCCCAAAGGGTCCAACATCTCTGAGGAGATGGTGCTGGCATTGTCCTTAGTGTGGTAGCGTTACATGTTTATGGTGATGGCTTCCTGATGTATGGGCAAGTATCTAAGAACTCTAAGTGGCACATACAGTTGAGTGCTCAGCTACTATCTAAAAAGTTGGAGGTTCGAACCCACCCAGAGGCGAGTTGGAAGAAAAACCTGGCTGCTTGCAAAAGGTCAGTCGAAAATTGCAGAGCACAGGTCTACTGTGACACACATGGAGTCACCATGAGTCAGGTTTGACTCCACCGCAACTGATTTGTTTTTGTATGGTTTTTGCAAAAGTATCTGGAGGAAATGGCACCATTTTCAAATTTATCCAAAGATGCTGTGTGTCCTCCGAGTCCTCTAAATTCTGGCAGGATTGAGTGACTGGAAGTTTTGAACCAGAGTTTAGGATGCAAGTTCTCACATAGGATAGTGGTCTCCAGTCAGGGCCGAGAGTCAGGCCAGGCAATGGTGTGGCGAGAGTTTGTAGTCACATGCACTGAAGGGCAGAAGACTTAAAATGCCAACAAAGGGGATGGTGGGACTCAGGGTTGAGACCACCAGCCACGCCCAAAAGGGAGGTGATCTGTGATGTGTACTCTGGGGTGGCCCTGAAAGGAGACAGTTTTGGATAGATGGTAAGAAAAAGGGAGTCTGGGAGAGCCAAGATCTTTCCCCAAAGATTCCATGGGAATATCTGTGTGTGTGTGTGTGCATGCGTGTGTTGTGCACATGCGCACGCCCACACACGTCATCTGTGAGGAGGGTTCCCAGCACTGGCCCAGTCACACAGATAGAGTATTTGTTGAATGACTTAGGACTCCCAGGCTAGAACTGTTTTAGGAACTTTGTGTCCCTTTTTTTCTTTCCCCAGAGAACTCCTATTCATCCTTCAAAACCCATCACAAATATCCCTTCCCATAGGAAGCTCACAGCCCTGCTCTCCATCAGGTTACCTTCAGTCAACCTGTGTCCTCACTCTGGCCCAGCTTTGACCCTATGGAACTGGGGTGTCTGTGTTCAGCTGTGTTTTCACCAGGTTAGGGGTTGAGGCCTCTCAGGAGTCCTAATTTCACCCAGCATAGGGTGGACACAGAAGGGCGGGAGGGAAGGTTTGCCTCATTGAATTATGTCAAGGGGGAGGGTCTGTGTGTGCTGTGCCCCCAAACCCCTATCTGCCTGTGCCAGCCTTCCCCTCCCACACAGACCTGGGTGGCACATAGTAGGGTTCCAGCCCTGTGGAGGTGGATCACAGGACACAGAGACAGGGAAAGAGGAGAAGGTAAGAAGGGGGAGATAGTGCCCAGAGGGGGACAGAGAAAGACTTTGAAGAGATGGAGAGGGAGACCCAGAAACAGGATAAAAAAGTACTAGGGGTCAGGAGGGAGGAGTGGTTGCTGTCCACCTTGCAGCAATAGCAGTCTGTCCTCCAAGAAAAACCACCAAGGCCACAAGCCGACTGTGCCCCCAGATCCTCCACTCTTTCAGGACCCAAGACTAAAACCTCATCCACCTGTGTCCTCTTCAGAGATGCAAAAAACTCCACACCCAGCCAGAAATCCTTGGGACCTCCTTGGCTGGGACCTTGGAGACCCTTCTGTCCACTCCCCTGCCCCATCCTTGTTGCAGATGGGGACACTGAGGGGCGGGGCAGAGAGGAGACAGCCCCAAGTGGCCCCAACTCTGCTGCTGGAGGGGGAGAGGAAGCATGGGGGGTGCTCGATTCCATCTCGAAACCCCTCCCTGCCGCCTGGCCCCCCTCCCGCCCCTCCCCTTTCCCTAACAGTCGTCAAGGACCAAAGTCGTCTTCGCTGACCCGTGTTGCTTTTCCTCTTTGCCTTTTTGTTGTTGTTTAAAGAGAGCAATCAAGTTGACGGTGACAAGTAAAACCCTGTTCTTCTCCTCCCCATCCCCCAGGCATAGGGACTTCCTCGCAGTACAGATCACTGGCAGAGGGTCCCGTGTGCTTCCCGGCCACACCGGCAGGGGGACCCAGACCCCACCTCTGCACCCCCTCTCCCCCGCCCGCCCCGTTCCAGTCCGCAGTCCAGGGAGGCAGCGCGTCCCACCTTCTCTAAGCATGTGATTGCAAATGTGAATTCAAAAATGTCGTTTTTTTTTTTTTTTTTTTAAATTCCACCCACGTCAGTCTGGCGTCAAGACAGACGCCCCATTTCTCTGTAAATATGTGACTTGGAACAAATGTTTAAAACAAACCAGAAGTGGTCATGGGTGCATGGTGTTGAGATGTTTTGCACTATTCTGACTTTTTGGTCTCTGTAAAAATATTTTATTAACAGCAGACATTAAAAAGAGATAAAGCACACAACCACATGTGTCTAGTGGCCTTGCGTGCTCATATTGGCAGGGGAGAGAGCACCTACTATGTGCAGGTGGTGGTGGTGGTATAAATGTTGTAAATGCCCACTAACCCAGCTCGCTCACAATTGGCGTCATCCCCACTTCACAGAGAAGAAAACAGAAGCCTCAGAGGCAAGCTCGCAGACCCTACATAGCTGGTGCTCATACAGCCAGGTGGGGGCCAAGTCAGAATTTGAACCCAGAACTTGGACAGCCGTTGCTTTTAACTACAACACATTGGCTACATCATAAAAGCTCCTCTACAACACTCAAGCCACTTAGGAACACAAATACCAGGGGACACACTCCCCAGTTCAACCCACACTCCGTGTCCGTCTGTTTTCTATGTCATTGTTAGCTGCTGGAGATTCCACTCCAACTCATGACAACCCCACAAACAACAGAACCAAACGTGGCCTGGCCTTGTGCTTGAGT